CCCCCCGCACTCCAGGCCGCCGGACGGGTCCGCTCCACCGGTCCACTACCCCCCTCCTTTTTCTCTCTCTCTCCTCCCAACATTCTCTCTCACACTCACTCTGTTTCCCCCCTCTCTTTCTTTCTCTGCCCTTCTTCCTTCTCAACTATCCTTCGTCCCATTCACTCTCTCTCAATCTCTGTCTTTCTACCCATCTTCCTTCCTTCCTTTCATTCTTCCTCCCTTCCTAGCTTCCTTCCTTCCTTTCTTTCCAAATTACTAACATTAACCCCACTCTGTCTCCCCCCCTTTTCTCTCTTTCCCCCCTCTCTAACTCTGTCTCTCTCTCTCTACCTCCTCTTCTCCATTCCTCCCTTCCACTCGCCCTTCCTTCCAAGCAGTGACCCTTGTTAGGAAAACAGAGCTGTTGCGAAATGTTACATTCCAATCGGGGGGAAAGGCAGGATGTGTAGAAAATGCTGGTTTTTATTTCTTAAGAACACACCAAAGAGGAACTGAAACTTTCAAAACCAAAATCAGCACTGAAGTCTGGTAACATAGGGCTGCCAAACTCCAGGTGGGACCTGGAGATCTCCCACTATTACAACTGATCTCCAGACAACAGACGTCAGGTCCCCTGGAGAAGATGGCCATTTTGGAGGGTGGACTGCACAGCATTGTATCCTGCTAGGGCCCCTCCTCTCCCCAAATCCCACCCTCCATGCCCAAAATCTCCAAGTATTTCCCAACTCACAACTAGCAGCCCTAGCTAACTGCCATCTCTAAGTGCCATTTCCATTTTTCCCAGAATGCCACATTGTTCAGTCTTAAACAATCTCCCTTATCTCCCTTATAAATAACTCACTAAAGTCCTAATATCTGTATGGAGAGTGGGCAGGTTCAGTCGGTTTTGACAGCGGAACTCCCACCTATGGTTATTAAGAATATGTAACTGCTGTTACTACACATGTACTTAAACACAGACATAAAAGAAGCAATACAACCAATGCTCTTTAACATTTAAAATAAACTCTTTATATATAAACAAAGCATGGAGGTTTTCATATAAATCCTCATTCACTTCTGGTTGGTTGCTATTACTTCATAGCAATGAATCTTCAGGATATTACTGAGTACAGATATCTTCAGCATCCACAAGGATGCACAGAACAGAAAAAATACTAAGCACATAAATAATACATATATTGTAGGTCCATATGTTGTAAGCTCACAGATAGTGGAACAGCATATGAGGTTTCCAGGCTGCACTAGGGATGCTGCAGCTCTTCTCAGTTGACTCCAGGATTCACCTGCAATAGTTCAAGGCAGGCCTTAACACAGCAAAGTCTATATAGGCCTCTCCCCAAGATGTTGCCTCTTTCTGGGCCAGGCTGAACTGCTGGCTGCTGGGAATACCCAGCCTCCTTTAGGGAAGGCTACAAGCACTGAGCATGCTCATTAACTAAGTATAGAAGGGGGGAAAGGGAGTTAATTGCCACACCACCTATTTTTGTCACTGTGGAGTATTGTGAAGAGGAGGTGCCACTGAAGGGTCATTGCTGGCCATTAACTTTTTTTTCCTGACCAAAAAAGTACATCAGGAGGAAACCATGAAGTCAGCTGCCAGCTAGCGAGGGCTGGTCTCTAGAAAGGTGGCATGTACTTCTTTTGAAATAGAGAAGAACAAACAAATGAGTGAAGCTGCTGTTGTCGAGAGGCTGAGTAGCAGCACTTCTTAGAACGGGAACCTGGCAGGACCAATGCACTGCCATTAAGTAAAGGTAAAGGTTTCCCTTGCTTGAAAGTCAGTCGAATCCGACTCTAGGGTTGCGGTGCTCATCTCCGTTTCCAAGCAAAAGAGCCAGAGCTGTCCAAATACATTTCCGTGGCCATGTGGCCATTACTCTGTGAATATGAGCCAGTGCTTTGCCTTGCCTCAGCCTGGACACAGAATTGTGGCATTATTGTGGCTTTGAGACCCTGTACTCATAACTTCTCCTGCCAACCTAGCAGTTCGAAAGCAAGAAATTGCAAGTAGATAAATAGGGACCACTTCGGTGGGAAGGTAACAGCGTTCCATGCGCCTTGGTGTTTAGTCATGCCGGCCACATGACCACGGAAACGTCTTCGGACAGCGCTGGCTCTTCGGCTTTGAAACGGAGATGATTTGTCCAGAGTGTCACCAGATGTTAGGCACTTTTATGTAGTGGCCCATCACTTGTGGCCCCTCATGGATCACTGCCTTGTCGTGGCGAGGGGGCTTGCGCAGTTCAATGAAGCTGTGGGCTATGCCGTGAAGGGCCACCCAAGACGGACAGGCCACAGCAGAGAACTCAGACCAAGCGTGATCCACCTGGAGAAGGAAATGGCAACCCACTCCAGTATTTTTGCCAAGAAAACCCCATGGACAGTATCAAAAGGCTAAAAGATATGACGCCGGAAGATGAGCCCCTCAGGTCGGAAGGTGTCCAATATGCTACTGAGGAAGAGCAGAGGGCAAGTACAAGTAACCCCAGAAAGAATGAAGCGGCTGGGCCAAAGCCGAAAGGACGCTCAGTTGTGGATGTGTCTGATGGTGAAAGGAAAGTCCGATGCTGCAAAGAACAATATTGCATAGGAACCTGGAATGTAAGATCTATGAATCAAGGCAAGCTTGACGTGGTCAAAAATGAGATGGCAAGACTGAACATCGATATCTTAGGAATCAGTGAACTTAAGTGGACAGGAATGGGCGAATTTAACTCAGAAGACCATTATATCTACTACTGTGGCCAGGAATCTCGTAGAAAAAATGGTGTGGCCTTTATAGTCAACAAGAGAGTGCAAAAGGCAGTACTGGGATACAATCTCAAAAATGACAGAATGATTTCGGTCCGATTCCAAGGCAAACCATTCAACATCACAGTAATCCAAGTCTATGCCCCAACCACTGATGCAGAAGAGGCTGAAGTGGACCGGTTCTATGAAGACCTACAACACCTCCTAGAACTAACACCAAAAAATGATGTCCTCATCATCATAGGGGACTGGAATGCTAAAGTAGGAAGTCAAAAGGTAACCGGAATAACAGACAAGTTTGGCCTTGGAAAGCAAAATGAAGCAGGGCAAAGGTTAACAGAGTTTTGTCAAGAGAACACACTGGTCATAGCGAACACCCTTTTCCAACAACCTAAGAGGCGACTCTACACATGGACATCACCAGATGGGCAACACCGAAATCAGATTGACTATATAATTTGCAGTCAAAGATGGAGAAGCTCTATCCAGTCAGTAAAAACAAGACCTGGAGCTGACTGTGGTTCAGATCATGAGCTACTCATTGCAAAATTCAGACTTAAACTGAAGAAAATTGGGAAAACCACGAGGCCATTCAGGTTTGACCTAGATCGCATCCCTGATGAATATACAGTAGAGGTGAAGAATAGATTCAAGGGTCTGGATTTGATAGATAGAGTGCCTGAAGAACTATGGACAGAGGTTCGTGACATCGTACAGGAGGCAGCAATCACCACCATACCAAAGAAAAAGAAATGCAAGAAAGCAAAATGGCTTTCTGATGAGGCTTTACAAATAGCAGAGGAAAGAAGGAAAGCGAAAGGCAAAGGCGAAAAGGAAAGATTTACCCAACTGAACGCAGATTTCCAGAGAACAGCAAGGAGAGATAAGGAGGCCTTCCTGAATGAACAGTGCAAAGTAATAGAAGAAAACAATAGAATGGGAAGGACTAGAGATCTCTTCAAGAAAATTGGAGAAATCAAGGGAGCGTTCCATGCAAAGCTGGCCATGATAAAGGACAAAAACGGTAGGGACCTAACAGAAGCAGAAGAGATTAGGAAAAGATGGCAAGAATACACAGAAGAACTATACAAGAAAGACCTCAATGTCCTTGACAAACACGACGGTATAATCACTGACCTTGAGCCAGACATCCTGGAATGTGAAGTTAAATGGGCCTTAGAAAGCATTACTAACAACAAAGCTAGTGGAGGTGATGGTATTCCAGCTGAGCTATTCAAAGTCTTAGAAGATGATGCTGTTAAAGTTCTGCACTCCATTTGCCAGCAAATTTGGAAAACGCAACAGTGGCCACAGGATTGGAAAAGATCAGTATACATTCCAATCCCAAAGAAGGGCAATGCCAAGGAATGTTCAAACTATCGCACAATTGCACTCATATCACACGCTAGCAAGGTCATGCTCAAGATCCTACAAGCTAGGCTTCAACAGTACGTGGATAGAGAACTACCAGAAGTACAAGCTGGGTTTCGAAGAGGTAGAGGAACGAGAGATCATATTGCCAACATTCGCTGGATTATGGAGAAAGCAAGAGAGTACCAGAAAAATATCTACTTCTGCTTCATTGACTATGCTAAAGCCTTTGACTGTGTGGATCACAACAAACTATGGCAGGTCCTTAAAGAGATGGGAGTACCAGACCACCTCACATGTCTCTTGAGAAACCTGTATAAGGGCCAAGAAGCGACAGTTAGAACCGGATACGGAACAACTGATTGGTTCAGCATAGGAAAAGGAGTACGACAAGGATGTATACTGTCACCTTGCTTATTTAATATATATGCAGAGTACATCATGCGAAATGCTGGCCTGGATGAATCACAAGCGGGAATTAAGATTGCTGGGGAAAAGATCAACAACCTCAGATATGCAGATGATACCACTCTAATGGCTGAAAGTGAAAAGGATCTAAAGAGCCTCTTGCTCAGAGTAAAAGAGGAGAGCGCAAAAGTGGGCTTGAAGCTCAACATCAAAAAAACTAAGATCATGTCAACATCAAGAAAACTAAGATCATGGCATCCGGCCCCATCACTCCTTGGCAAATAGAAGGGGAAGTCCTGGAAGTAGTGACAGACTTCACATTCCTGGGATCCCAGATCACTGCAGACTGTGAGAGCAGCCATGAAATTAAAAGACACCTGCTCCTTGAGAGGAAAGCGATGGCGAACCTAAACAACATGATAAAAAGTAGAGACATTACCCTGCCAACAAAAGTCCGCATGGTCAAAGCAATGGTATTCCCAGTAGTCATGTATGGCTGCGAGAGTTGGACTATAAGGAAGGCCGAGCGCCGAATAATAGATTCTTTTGAACTATGGTGCTGGAGAAGACTCTTGAGAGTCCCTTGGACTGCAAGAAGATCAAATCAGTCAATCCTAAAAGAAATCAACTCTGACTGTTCCCTGGAAGGCCAGATAATGAAACTGAAGTTCAAATACTTTGGCCACCCAATGAGAAGGGAGCACTCACTGGAGAAGACCCTGATGCTGGGAAAGATTGAAGGTCAAAGAAGACGGGGACGGCAAAGGATGAGATGGTTAGACAGTGTCATCGATGCAACGAACATGAAATTGAGCAAACTTCAGAGGACGGTGGAAGACTGGAAGGCCTGGCATGATCTGGTCCATGGGGTCGCGAAGAGTCGGTCTCGACTGTGCGACTGAACGACAACAACTCATAACTTGCATAATGCCAGGATAACATAACGACAAAGAGAAACTAGGGAGGGTCTTCCTCCAGCTGTTGTCCAGCTCCAAGTACAGCTCGAACAGGCAGCCACAGAATGTTCAGATCGGGGACAATGCTTATGTTCCGAACATATTTATTTACTTTATTTGTATCCTGACTTTCACCCCAACAGGGACCCAAAGCAGCTTATGTTGTTCTCCTCTCCTCCGTTTTATCCTCACAACAAAGGTGTGACAGTAGAAAACAGCAAGAGTCCAGTAGCACCGCAAAGACTAACAAAATATGTGGCCAGCCAGGGTAGCAGCTTTTGTGAGTCACTGCTCATTTCTTCAGATACAGCTAGAACAGCAGTCCAAACCTGTGAGGTAGGTTAGGCAATGCATGTTGATGCCGCCATTCCTCACAAGCCACTCCCAAGTAGAAACAGCTGTCTTTGTTACAGTTGGCCCTGAAAACTCTTTCTTTACCATTCCCTCAACCTCAAAGGGTGGCCAATTTCCCCCCCTGGAAGGGCTCCTGTGTCTTTGGCAGCTATATGACAGTCAGACATTTAACAGTTGGGACTTTCAAAGCAACATCAAAGCCTTGGTATCAGGAGCGATTTTGGTTGCAGATGCTGGAGACCAACCCTAGAACTTTTTGCATGCAAGGTGTGATCTGACCCACACAGTGATTGCCAAATGACCAGGGGGGAAACCAGCCTGACCTGCTCCTCTGCCTTGAATAGCAATCTGATCTTCAGAAATCAGTAAGTTAAACATTTCAAGATAAGTGCAAGCACCTATTTACAGTTTACAAATCATGCTTCTGTTAAAAGCTTAGGAATAGGAGCTGGAAACAAACTGGAACATCTGTCTTCAACCAAATTATAGGCCATCCCCCCCCCACCACCACAAACCCTTCCCCGTCTCCATGCTGGTGGCCCCAGCTCCAACGATCTTTCATTACTCACCTCTTTGAGCCCCACAAAACAGGCCTCCTTGTTGAAACCTCAGCATTGTGGTACCCGTGCAAAGGAGAGAGCTCTCTCTTCTATTCAGGCTGCAACAGCCATTGCCTCATATAAACCCCACCAGAGTGAGGTGTTCCGCTCTCTAAGGCCCTACGTCAACAGCCCAGCATTGACTCAAAAAGTGATTTGGCAACTTGTGCAAATGGGGAAATGCTAGGGAAATTCCCCTCATGGCCCTTCTAGCTTATTGCTGTTGGCATTTCTCCATCACCACCATGGTGCCAACTCACGAGCAAGACCCCTGAGGTCAACAGAGCCTTAGTTGTATTTTGGGTTAGTTATCTAACCAGATTCAGGTGCAGACAGGGATTCTGTGAGTAGAGAGGGCAGAGGTTAAGAGACTCCGCTATGAATTAAAGCATCCCTGTTGTGAGTCTTATCTACGATGAACCCACTCAGTGGTCCTAAACTAGCCACTCTCCCTTAGTGCTGGCCCCCTATCTGCAATATGGGGATATTGACCTACTTACAGAGTTGTTATTGGGATTACAATGTTGTTATACATGGGAAGTAGTTTGAACATTAACTGTGTAAATGTGAAGCACTGTTCTCACTGGCAGGGCATGTGTTCAGTCCCTGGCATTTCCAGCTCAAGGATTTCAAACAGGAGGTCTTGCAAAAGACCTTTCCCTGCCCTGGACCCTGAGAGCCACTGCCAGTTAAGAGAAGTAAAAAAGCAGCTCAGTGGTCTGTTTCAGTATAAGGTAGCATCATATGTGCATTGAAGAGGAAATGTCAGAACTCGTACTTTCCTACAGCACGGTGCACAGAGCTATGCCTCTTGAAATGACCTCTGGTCCTGCTATTAAATGCACTCATCTGTTTCCTATTCTCTTTTGTGTTTTTGTCTTTGTGACGGGTGCTGTTTCATGAGCCAGATGTGGGCCAAAGACTGCCCAGTTCCCGATTCTCCTACCTAATTTTGATTGAGGGATGGTAACAAGTCTGACCGCTGTTTCGATTGCAAGGAAAAGGGAAAAAAATGTTTTCACTGGCTAGTCCAATCTCGTCAGATCTCAGAAGCCAAGCAGGGTCAGCCCTGGTTATTACACGGATGGGAGACCACCAAGGAAGTCCAGGGTTGCAATGCAGAGGCTGACAATGGCAAACCGTCTCTGAATGTCTCTTGCCTTGAAAACCCTACGGGGTTGCTATAAGTCAGCTGTGACTTGAAAGCACTTTGTACCACTACCAAAGAACAGGGACACATTTATTTTTTTATAAAATAATGTTTTGGATTTTGCATGGAATTTGTGGTAGACGATGGTACACACTGGTTTTCAATGTAGCACCTGAAATCTATAATTATACAGAACTGACTGGACCAACTTACACATTACAAAGTTCTTGTGTTCACCGAGGTCCTGTTGATCATATGTGCTCTGTGAGTTCTAGGGGTCGTAATTCCCAGGTGCACACGGTCCCAATTCGGACCAGCAGCATCGGGAGAGGGGATTTAAGTCTCCTCTCTTATACAATTTCTCTGACCTAAAACAGCATGGGGGAGCCATTGTTTGTACTGTTGGGGGCTAAACTGTGTACTGATGGCTACATTTATGTTTTGCCAGTGGGGCAAATAGCAGTTCCCTGGGGCCGTTTTAAGTGAGGAAAATTACATGGAAGGCAACTCCTCAGCATATCTGATTGACACCCAGGCAGACACATGGGACGGGGTGGGGGTGGGGCGCAAGAACTTTGTAATGCATGACTTGGCTTACACAGAGACAAGAAGAAGAAGAAGAAGAAGAAGAAGAAGAAGAAGAAGAAGAAGAAGAAGAAGAAGAAGAAGAAGAAGAAGAAGAAGAAGAAGAAGAAGAAGAAGAAGACGACACTTGGATCACCAGATTTTGATGAGTGTCAAGGACCTGTGATCAAGTTGCCTGCGCCATTGCTACCCCCAGCACCCTTTATTAATTACCCAGTTGGGCTGGGGCCCCTAGATGTGTGCACACTGCCTGCACTGTGTAAAGTCTGGAGCTGAAACAGAGGCTCTAGACAGTTGACGCACTAGATATTTGCATTGCTCAGTTTCCGGAAGGGGCCAGCCTGGTGGCCTATTGGTTTCTTAGTCTTTTTCTGGGACTTTCCCCCATTGGCCAAGCAAGCTAGCTTGCTTGCTTAAGGCAGGAATCCTGGATATACATCCATCTCTCCCCTCGCCCTATGGGTTGTGGTGGTTCACACCAGCTCCGGAAAGGACAATTTGTTCCCACCACAAAAGGCACAGCAGTTGCTCTGCATATGGCATTACCCAACCACTGATCTTTCACCAGCCTTGGCCGTGGTACAAGGTGCAGAGAGAATGACAACATCACATTCAAGGGGGGGGGGACGACGACACAAACCACACTGGCAGGGCAGCCAGTTTAGAGAGGAGAGAAATAAAGAGAAATTAAGGAAGCTGGGTACAGTGAGAGCCTGTCAAACTTCTAAATTTGGCTGATGTCCAGGGAGGGCAACCAGAAAAGGTCAACGGGGAGACCTCCATGGGTAGCATTCTCTACTGCATGATTGTTGCTGCCTATGAGGCTCCTATTTAATTTCACAGGGCTTCCCCAAGGACCTTTCCTGATATGTTGAACCCAAATTTCTACTAGCGTAGACTGCCACCAAAGGTAATTTCTACCCACCCTTTCAGTTCTTATTTGTCAGTTTGGAATTCCAGCCTGGAAATAAACAGTTTATAACATTGTCCACAGCCCACAGCAAGAATGTTCAATGGAAGGGGCTATGGATGATTGGTAGACCCTCTCTGCTCAGCATGCAGAAGGTCCCAGGTTCAGTCCTCAGAATCTCCAGGTAAAAGGATCAGGTAGTAGGGGATGTGAAAGACCTCTACCTAAGACCCAGTTTGAGTAGACAGGCTTTTTAATGTTTTTTAAAAAAGTTTATTCTCTCATTTCTCCATCTTCTTCCTCCTCCTCCACACCCCGTATATAAAGGACATTATTACACCTTATCAGAACTTCGCCAAGGTATCCAGAAAATGCTCCATCAATATATTCGTCTGTATTTGCAAGCTGCATGTTCATGTAGCCATCGACAGAGGCAAGGTAGCCCTTGTATTGCATGACCATCCCTTGTATTCCAACAGTTTACCTTCTGAGTTCAGCTTCAGCTTCACCATCACAGGCTTCCCAGTCAGCCCAATGAGGAAGTTCTTTGGATTGAGGGGCAAACTCATGGCAACCCAACCCAGCAGGAGGCAGCCGCAAAACAAAAACTACCCACCGGGCAACATGTGCGCCCGCCCGTCAGAGGTCCACAGGAAAAGGTCAGGAAGTTTTGTTTTGATACACAGCCTCCATATTCTGTCCTCTGGAAAGAGGCTGCTGTTAGGACAGAATATGGAGAAACATGACAGTTTTCAATTGGCAAAAGGTGTCAGACAACGATGTATTTTGTCTCCCTACATGTTCACTTTATATGCGGAACATGTCATAAGGAAAGACGGATTAGATTTAGATGAAGGTGGAGAGAGAACTGGAGGAAAGAGCATTGACCCTTTGAGATATGCAGATAATACCACATTTCCCCAGTCAAGTCCCAGCTGACTTATGGCAACCCCCACAGGATTTTCAAGGCAAGTGACGCTCATTGGTGGTTTGCTATTGCCTGCCTCCTGTTATTCCTTGGTGGTCTCCCATCCAAGTAATGACCAAAGCTAGTGCAGCTTAGCTTCTGAGATCTGATGAGATCAGGCTAGCCTGGGCTATCCAGCTCAGGATGACATCATATCACTAGCAGAAAATAGTAAAGATTTGAGATGAAGGTGCCAAATCTGAACAATAGGAAGGCACAAATAATGACTACTGAGGAATGATGCAACTTTAAGGTTGACAATGTTGACAGTGGGAAAGTGTTAATGATTTTCTATTCCTTGGCTCCATCATCAACTAAAAGGAAGACCTCAACCAAGAAATGAGAAGGTGATTGAGACTGGGAAGGGCAGCCATGAAGAAGAGATTGGATTTATACCCCGCCCTTCACTACCCAAAGGAGTCTCAGAGCGACTTACAAACTCCTTTCCCTTCCCCTCCCCACAACAGACACCCTGTGAGGTAGGTGGGGCTGAGAGAGCTCTGACAGAAACTGCTCTTTCAAGAACAGCTCTGACAGAACTATGGCTTGCCCAAGGTCATCTAGCAGGTGCAAGTGGAGGAGTGGGGAATCAAGCCCGGTTCTCCCAGATTAGAGTCCACGCACTTAACCACTAAACCAAACTGGCTAGAAAAGATTCTTAAGTATAAGGATGCTTTGCTGGTGACCAGGAGCAAGATAATTCTAATTTTCTAGTTCTTATGGTTGGAAATTTGCAGGCAATGCTTGCCAAAAATTCTCAGAACCCAGCGACGTGTAGAAAGGATTTCCTAAATGGTCGGAACCCTTCCTGCCATGGCTTGGTTGGCTTTCCAGCAGGAAACACAGCTTGCTATTTTGGTGTAAAGTATCCATTCCCCAACTTCTAGGTGAAGACCAGCACCACTTCTATTTTGATGTTAAAGACTGATGCTAAAGATTGATGCTAATTAAATCACTGTGATGATGGAATTCAAAAGCTAAGGTGCTAATCTGAAAACACTCTGAACGTAAACCTCTGGTACAAGAAAGTATGGAATCTATACTTAATGGAAAAAAACCACAGATATCTTTAAACAAATCAAACCCAAAGGAGAACTCAATGATACTACATGTATATGGTCTCCTATCTTATCATACCTAACTACCAAAGATTCAATACCCGCTGTAACCCCTACGTAAACCGCTCAGAGACCCTTCAGGGTTAGGAGCGGTATATAAATTGAATGTAATAAATAATAAATAATAATAAAAGGTACTCTCCGCCTTTTGTAGTGTTTATAGCACAATACACAGTTTGATATATAGTATGAACTGTACGGAGAGAATCCTCACCACAGTATAGATTAGAATGATTAAAGCACTTTTTGTATGTATAACGAAAAATATGTTAATTATATGTACATGCCTATCTTGCATAACCCTGTTGTTAATGAGAAAATTGAATAAAACTGATTTGAAAAGAAAAAAAAAAGCTAAGGTGCCACCACCAAGAAGGCCCATTTCTGAAGGCGGAACACATAAAGCGGTTCCTCTGCAGAAGATCTGAACTGCTTGGCAGTTTATTTAATTTATTATTTAGGTTTTTAAAGCTATGATTCAAAAATTATATTTTTGAAGGTTTCACAAGATTTTTTGTATAATTTTAACGGAACTTCTAAAAATGTAATGTGAGATACAAATGCAGATGCACTTAGCAGAGACACGGGATTAGCTGCACCTTCCAGTCAGATGCAAGCCTGGTCTTTAGTCCAGCAATTTCCTTTCCTCCCACAAAACATCATCATTATTATAAAATAGGGTTGTATGGGGTGGTGGTGGTGGTTCCACAGCGTCATAGGAGAAAAAATCGGACTTGTGCACTTACCAGAAATTCTTTACAGGAAGTGACATAAGGTAGCTCTAGGAATTGACAGAAACTCTACGGCAAAACCATAGAGCTACCTTTGTGACTTACTATAAAGACCTTCTGGTAAGTACACAGGACCACATTAAAAAAAATTCACTGCCACTTGAAGCAGTTGCAAGCAATGGACCTGGGGGGAGGGATCCCTCGCCTCCACTGGGGGCTTTGTACCCCTATTATAAAACCATCTGAAAAGCTGACTCACAGCAGAAGAAACAATGCAAAAAACAAACAAACAAACTGAAGCAAGGGTTTTTAACTGACACAGTTTTATTTCATCCAGTGTTCAAGATGCCTTGTTGTAGTGGAAATGAATGTGTGTGGTGTGTGCGCTGAATACTGAAGACACAGTAGGATTAAGTCTCTTCTTTTGTCACACTTGAGTCGCCAGGTTTTGAAGTCTGGAAGCAAGATTCACAACTGCAGCAGGCTTTCAAGGCATTTCTCCCCTTCTCCTGTGCATGCCCAAGAGTATGTGCACATGTGTGATCAAATCTGGCATCCACACTATCCACGCTCACAGATGACCTCGATCACACTCTGTTCCATGGGCACAGGGTCAAGACAGCGGTGGGCCGTGCTTCCTACAATCTCATCCAGCAAGAAATGCACCAGGTTCTCATCAGAAACAAAGCGCCACAGGTAAAGCTGCAGGTAGTAACAGTCCACCTGGATCTGCTGCAGGCCAAAGCGACCAAAAGTGCGCAAACGGACACACTCTAAAAACGTCTTCAGGCTGATCTTGATGATGCCAGTCAGCACAGAGACCTGGATGGAGGACAGACAGCAGAGGTGAAATGTACATGGGGCTGCCCTCATCTCAGATCCGGAAGCTGCAGCTAGTGCAAAATGCGGCGGCCAGGCTGCTAATAGCGTACCGGATCCGTTTCAAGGTGCTGGTTCTGACCTTTGAAGCCATATATGGTCAGGGGCCTGCCTACGTGACGGACCGTCTTTCCCCACATATGCCCCAGAGAGCACTGAGGTCAGGAACACAGAATCGCCTGACTCTTCCTGGCCCAAGAGACGTCAAGTTGGCTGCCACTAGAGCCAGGGCCTTTTCAGTGGTGGCTCCACACTGGTGGAACGAGCTAACGGATAACATCAGGGCCCTGTGGGACCTTTTACAGTTCCGCAGGGCCTGCAAAATGAAGCTCTTCCACCAGGCTTTTGATTAGGGGCCGCCGCTAATGATGTTGTTAGCCGCCTTGAGCCAACCCTGTGGCAAGGCGGGATAAAAATGGAAATAAATAAATACAAGCAAATCTCTGAAACATCCAACATTTTCAGACTTAAAAAAAAAAAGAGTCCTATGGCACCTTAAAGACTTAGCATTATTGTGGCGGAGACTTTCATGGACTAAAGGTAAAGGTTCCCTTGCTCGAAAGCCAGTCGAATCCGACTCTAGGGTTGCGGTGCTCATCTCCGTTTCAAAGCCGAAGAGCCAGCGCTGTCCGAAGACGTTTCCGTGGTCATGTGGCCAGCATGACTAAACACCAAGGCGCACGGAACGCTGTTACCTTCCCACCGAAGTAGTACCTATTTATCTACTTGCAATTTCTTGCTTTCGAACTGCTAGATTGGCAGGAGCTGGAACTAGAGATGGGAGCTCACTCCATCATGCGGCACCCGGGTCTCAAACTGCTGAACTAGTGATCTTCCACAGCCTGCAGTTCAGCGTCTTAACCACTTGAGCCACCGACTAAAGCTGGTACATAAAATGCATGAATTGTCTTCTCAGTCAACAGCTAACACAGACATACACATACATGTCTACAGAGGAAAAAATGTGAATGCTGGATTTAAAAAGACAGGATGCATAAGATACAATCCATTCAAGGTAAGCACACACAGTGACCATTCATGACAATTGGTTAGTTGGGTGGTCCTCAACCCATCGGTTTGCATCCTAAGGTGGGTTAAAGCACCCCACCTAATGGATTCCAAACACACCCAAGAGCTCTATTTTCCACCACTTTTTGGAGCAGGGCTGTCAATTCTGGGTTGGGAAATTCCTAGAGATCTGGGGGTGGAACCTGAGGAGGGTGGTGCTTGAGGAGCGGAGGGACCTCGATGGGGATGTGATAGCAAAGAGTCAACCTCTGAAGCTCCCGTCCTCTGCAGAGGAACTGATCTCCGTCATCTGGAGACCAGCTGTAATTCCAAGAGAACTGTCTCCATCCGAAGGTGGACCAACTAGGGTTCCCAGGTCCGAATGCTGTGGCGGAGGGGGGGAGGGGACTTTCTGGGAGTGGGGGCAAAGTGCCGCAACATGCTGACGTCATGCGGAAGTGGCATCAGCATGTCAGGGACACTGCACGGCAACGCTCTTGTTTTCGTGCAAAACTCTATGGTAAGATCAGCCGCGAATCAGAGTTCTGCCCCAAAAAAGAGTGTTGCCATGCGACATCATCCACATCACTTCTGTTGGTCAGCAATGGGCAGAAGCCCAAAAAAACAGGGGATCCCCTGCTCCCAGCTGGGGAATGGCAACCCTATTTTGGAAGGATCTGTGCGTGGACAGACAATAAGGGTTCCACGCCTCTAGGAAGAGCAGTGGGATGGCAAGGCCAGGTCACTCAGCACTGGAGAAGGCTCCTCCGTAACACAGGCAGGTCCAGAGACTCTGGCTGTCACATGACTGATGCTTGCGACTTTCTGCCATACCCTTGCAGCTCATGGGGTCCCATGCTGCTGCCTGCGGTTAAACATGGGTACTGACTCTGGAAAGATTGAACACCACCGCCTTCGTCGACTATGACAGCAAACCTAAGAAGGCCTATTCAGGATCCTAATCAAGTGTCCAGTGGTGATTTACTGTGATGGACAGAAGGCTGGCCCGCCCCTGAAGGGGAAAACAGCCACTCGCTTGAGCCTATGGGGGTGCTGCTCCAGCATCCAATCACCTTTGAGATGGAGGATGGAATACTGGAGGGAGACACAGCAGCAGTTGAGTTCTGCCTCGGGGAGAGCAGGGAGAGCGCAGGTCTGGCTCAGGAAAAGAGCAGGCAGAGTGAAGGGTAGCTCTGCTTGGTAGTGTGGCAAAATTACTTCCAGGAAAGTGTCCTTAAAACTGCACTGTATGTCTGTCGTACTCCTGCCAACTGACAATCCAATTTTTGCATCTGATGAAGTGGACTCTGACCCATGAAAACTGATGCCACAATAAACCCCCACTCTGATATGGAAGCCCACTGGGTGACCTTGGGCCAGTCACACTCTCTCTCAGTCTAACCTCTCTCACTAAGGTTGTTGGGAGGATAAAATGGAGGAGAGGAGAATGATGTAAGCTGCTTTGGCTCCCCACTGGGCATAAAGGAGGGGTACAGCTGAAGCAAATAAATCTGTCATCCTTTAAGGACACTCCAGCACCTGTTGGCTTCAGTAGGGCTGGCCCTGCTCCTTCATGCCCCTGCAGAGAAGCCCTGTCTGTGTGCATTTATGTTCCCAAATTGTACAAACAAAGAATAAGATGAGCTCAAGGCAGATGTGCCCTGGCTGCATTCTCACCTTGTTGAACTCCACAGGGCTGAAGATATCGATGCGTTCTGAGAACAGCTTCTGGATATTACTCAGCAGGTTGGTATCCATGGGGGCACTTAGGGGCGAGAACAGAAAGAATTAATTTATCTAATAGCCATTCACCTGGTTGCCTGGAGAGAGCAAAGGATCACCTCCAGGTGACCAAGCAGAGACACTCTTGGTAAATGTATCAGCTCCCGTGTGGGGAGGCATGTGAACAATCATATTCTCTATATTTAAATGTCTCCTCTTTTGCCATAAGGAAAAACAGAAACCTCTGGTGTCTACTCTGACACAGTGTTCTGGAATTAATTAAGATCAGGTAAAATGGCCAGAGATGAAGGCAGATCTAGGGAGGAAGACCCAATAGCTGCAGGCCCAATCGGAGCTGATGGAGGGGGACCTGCTGGCATCCCACACACACAAGGAAGGTCAGAGAATTCCCACCTGCCCCACTCACCTGGGTGTGTAGCTGGGCGCATAGCGACTCTGCTGCCGGGAGCTGCTGTACACGGAAAAGGTCCTTTTGCTGGAGTCGCTGCTCTGCGCTTTACGCACACCTTCCTCATACAGAAGCCCGACCTGAGGTAGGAGGCAAAGTTGGGGAGATGAGAGAAGGGACTCGATAAGGCAGACTAGTATCTGGTTGCATCAGGTCTCTGGAACAAGCCCTGCCGGGTCTTGAGGCTTCCTGATCCGGAGACTGGCTGTGGCTACTCAGTGGCAAGGGCACACACTTTGCACAAGCTCAGAGTAGAGATGTGAAGGCCTGGAAAACCCCCCAGAAAAATCCTTTTTTCAATTTTTCCAATGCAAAAATTGGAGATTTTGGGAAGAACTAGAGGGAAAAAACCCTATGAAATATTTTCTTTTTTTCAAATGAGTTAAATGCTTTTAAAGTCATGGTCTTAAATACGAGAGGCATTTTTGCACCTAGAAGGATACCGAATCTTATGGGAGGAGCATGCAGGGCTTTCATCGCTTCCCAACAGTTGTGTGCCTGCTGTCCTTTTGACCTCTCTCTCAAACTACTGGGACACATTTACCTGCAGACAGGGTTAAAAGTAGCTTATTACCCCACCTTGCAGGAGGAAGAAAAAAGACCACAGGGAGGAGGGACAGAAACTGCACCAAAGTGACAGGGGAAGGCTGAAAGTTTCACTGAGAACTGAGCTCTCTAACCAGACAGCAAAAATTAAGGCACATGTGCTAAGATAGCATAGGGTGCATCACCTTGCAGTTTTCTCTCAGCTACTGGGTATATTCTTGGTTTAGTCGTATTTGGTCTTAGTTTGTTGTGGCAAAGGTTACCATTGGCACTATGCAACCATACTCTGAGAAAGCTTACAATAATTTTGTGGCAACCTGGTTTTTTGTCTGAACAGGATATCATTCCGATCAACCCAATTTACAAAGATATGATTTTCTTCTAGTTTTTGTTTGGCTATCTATTTTCTTTTCTTTGTTGAAGACTGACTGTTTTGATGTTCTAATTGGTTTACATGTATTTGGATGGGCTAGTGCGCTGTTTTTCTTTTTTTTTTTTGAATATTTTATTTTAGTTTTTTAAGACATATACAAATCAGACATTAACTGCATTGAATATTCCATCATTTAGGAGCATCTTATCTATAGATATCTAACCATCTATCTAGTTTCTGCCATCTATTTTTGAACACAGTATCAAGTTTTCCTGCAAGTAACATGTTTACTTTATCCATTTCCTTTAGATCTATAATTTTTATAATTAATTCTTCTCTACTTGGCATTCTGTCAGATTTCCAGCATTTGGCTACAGCTATCCTGGCATTTGCCAGGATGCCAGAAATGCTAGTGCGCTGTTTTTCTTGTATGGAGTTCATATAATAAATGAGTAATTAAAAAAAAAAAGCCATTGGGTATATTTGAAATTTTGTTTGTAACACACTAAGGCATTTATAACTTTTAAATTCTACAAATATATCAAATACTGCAATTTTATATGCTGGTAAGATAAATGATGTGTTTAATGTTGTTCAAGCAGTAAAATTAGTTTTGGTCTGATATATTATTTTCCCCAAAATGTCTGTCTTCTCCCCCAACTCCCCCTCCATTTTTTCCTGTGGCTTCAAAACTTCTGGAAATGTTACATCTCTAGCTCAGAGGGACTTGGGAGGGTGAAACAAGTGGGACTCCTCCACAGCCCACCGCTTCCCACTGCTACCACTATATGAACAACAGAAGGACCTCCTCCTCCCAGACCAACTTGCCCACTACTTAAGGCCTTCTTGAGAGGCTGCTGGCCTCTTTCAATTGGGGCCCCTTGCTTATGAACTACCTTCTCCAGACAGATAGTCGAGATGCTAACACTGCTCCCACTTCCTATGCCAGGCTGACTTTGTTATTTTCAGCCCTGCTGTTGTAACCAGGTTTTTGGGTAGAGGTAATAAAGATATGTAAGAAGAAGAAGAAGAGATTGGATTTATACCCCGCCTTTCACTCGGAGTCTCAGAGTGGCTTACAAACTCCTTTCCCTCCCCCTCCCCACAACAGACACCCTGTTGAGGTAGGTGGGGCTGAGAGAGCTCTGACACAAACTGCTCTTTTTTCAAGAACAGCTCTGACAGAACTATGGCTTGCCCAGGGTCATCCAGAAACTACAAGTGGAGGAGTGGGGAATCAAGCCCGGTTCTCCCAGATTAGAGTCCACACGCTTAACCACTACACCAAACTGTAAAAAGAGAAGGGGGATGCCAAATATTGTATATAATATTATATACAATGTGACTTAGGTGCAGAAGTTCTTAAGAACATAAGAACATAAGAGATGCCACTGTTGGATCAGGCCAAAGGCCCATCCAGTCCAACACTCTGTATCACACAGTGGCCAGAAATACCAGTGCCATCAGGAGGTCCATCAGTGGGGCCAGGACATTAGAAGCCATCCCACTGTTGACCCCCCCAAGCACCAAGATGACAGAGCAGAGCATCACTTGCCCCAGAGTCCCTATCTTTACCTTGTGGCTAATAGCCACTGATGGACCTCTGCTCCATATGCTTATCTAATTCCCTTTTGAAGCCGTCCATGCTTGTAGCTGCCACCACTTCCTTACATACTTACGTGTTGATTTTATGGAGCAGAGATCCACCAGTGGCTATTAGTCACAAGGTATAGATAGGAACTCCTCTCAGTCTGGGGCAGGTGATGCTCTGTATTCTTGGTGCTTGGGGGGGGGGAACAGTGGGAAGGCTTCTAGTGTCTTGGCCCCACTGCTGGACCTCCTGATGGCACCTGGTATTTTTGCCCACTGTGTGACAGAGTGTTGGACTGGATGGGCCATTGGCCTGATCCAACAGTGGCTTCTCTTATTTTCTTATGTCCCCTTCCAAAGGGAACTTGCAATAAGAAAAATCATCCCTTACCAACTCAGAGACCACAGACTGCCTCTGGATGCCTGGGATGGGGGGGGGGGGGCAAAGGCACTGCTTCCAAGGTTCCATTACTTTGGACAAGTTCTCTCTTGTTTCAGGAAACCTACAAAGTGGGGAAACTCCGCAGCAAACTTCACCCTCTATCCCTGCCCCCATGGGAGGACTTTGCCCTGCCCATTCTTTCCACAAGACTTTAGCGGTTGAGGTTTGTGTGTTTTGTTTCTTTGCCATTTTATCAAATGTTATGAGTGCTTTTATTGACTGCTGTATGCTGCTTAACTCTGTTTTTTTAAAATTTCTGGTGGCTCCTGCTGCTCTTATTGGGGAAAGTGTGGGACCCCTTTTCACTGGTGGTTGCACCTAGGAATGAAGTCCCTCTTCAGCACTCCCTGGGAGTCTGGAGGGAAGAGGCCATCGATTGTGGGGCTTCTTGGCAAGGTAAGCTTGCTTCCATGGGAGTCTAAAGAAGCCTCTTGTCTCCTCAACTGCAATGCTCAGAGAATGTACACCTACGACTCCATATCTTGGCTTCACTTTGAATGGTATTGGTATCGGATCTTTTTGGGTTGCTTGCCTGAATGACACTTCAGAGTCCTTAAAAGAGGGAAGCCGGCACATGACTACTTAAAACAAAAATAAGTTAAAAATACATGCCACTGCCCCCCCCCAGTGAACGAAACCCAGCTCCCCCCCCCACCTGCACATCGATGGAGGTGGCATCCTCAACCACACGCTTCATGACGGCACGGACGTTGCGCGGCTCAATGGTTGTGATCCAGTCGCGGGTCTCCACGCTCTTGCGCAGCATCTGGGAGATGATCAGGCCCTGCACCTTGACGTAATGGTTCCGCAGCTTCTGGGCGGCTTCACGGGCTTCAGCACACAGGCCCGTCACTGGGGTCACGGGGGAGTGGTCCTGGGGAGGGCGAAGAAGTACAAAAAAGCCCCATCCTAAGTAATAAGAAATATGCAGGTGTGTGGCCCTTGCTTTTCTTGCAATGTCTTATACCCTGTGAGCCCCCTTCTGTATTGCGTTTAGAACTCGGTTCTGAGGAGAAGAGAATAGAAAGAGCCTTCCCTGACACATGATGATTTATGAGTTACACCCTCCCAGTTCCGTGACAACTTATCCCACACCCTCCCCACCCCTACATTTGAAATTCTGAAAAGTGGCAAACAGATTTAGTGAATACATGGGGGAGGGGGGATACCTGCACTAGGAATTGCTCATCAGTCAGTGTGAGGATGTAGCTGATGGTGGAGGTCTCATAGTCCAGGCAGAGGCGGGAGAGAAGCAGCAGCAGTGCAGGGGGCGTAGACCCACCCTTGTCCCCCGCGCTCTCACAGAACTGCCGCGCCGTCTGGCAGATCGACTTGATGAAACTGACAATGAGGCCTTCGCGGACACCTTGGCTGCAGAATTCCCCCTAGGAGCACGAGGAGGTGAAGGCCAGTTGGTGAAGTGAACACAGAAAGCTTGAAAGCTGCTGGTCAGCAACTCAAGGGTAACTGAGCAAGGGCTGATGGGGGCCACTGTCTTGCTCCCACCTGAGCTGAGTCAAGAGTCTTCAACTATCTCCACTGTGAACAGGGAAGACAGGCTCTAGCAGAATTCCTTCCTTATTATGTGCCTGAACACACAGAACCTCTCTTACAATGAACCAGGCCAAGGTTCAAATTGTTTTCTTAAACTGGCAATGGCTCCTCAATGTCTCAAGCTGAGGTGTGTGGTGTTTTTTTAACTGGAGGTGCCCAGAATGGAACCTGGGACCTTCTGCATGCAAAGCAGAGACTCTTCCACTGAGCCACACAGCCCCGTGCCTCAATGTGCTATGTAACTCCTCCTTGCCTTGGCTCATGCAAAGGAAAAAACAGAAAAAAGCCTTAATGGGAGGCTTGCTGCAAAGCCTTTGGCTGCTGTTCACATGGAGGAAGAAGGGTCTGAAGAGTCCTTGCGGACCTGACTCGTGACAAAGCAGATGAATCACAAAGAGAGTGTCCTAAGCAAGGAGGGACCAAGAGGATGCATCTGCAGGCAAGTTGAGCCTTTAGACCTCCAGGTGCCTGTCTCTACCGTAAGCTGAGCTGGCAGATGTTTGGCACACCTGGCTCTCGCTAGGCAAGGAGGCAGGGGTGGTTTTCCTGAAGCAGTTAACCCCAAATCACAGAACTCCATCCTAATGGAGGTTTTCCACTGAACCTTGGCCCCTCCCATAAAAGGGGCAGCACATATCAGAGGTCGCCCTTTTCTATTTGGGAGGGTCAAAATGAAAGCTGCAGAGCACGTATTTGTACATATCTACGAATATTTTAATTTATTGTTACCTTCTTGGGTTTCTCTGGGCCACTGCAACACTAAATACACAGTTTGGTGTAGTGGTTAAGTGCGCGGACTCTAATCTGGGAGAACTGGGTTTGATTCTCCGCTCCTCCACCTACCTCACAGGGTGTCTGTTGTGGGGAGGGGAAGGGAAAGGAGTCTGTAAGCCGCTCTGAGACTCCGAGTGAAGGGCAGGATATAAATCCAATCTCTTCTTCTTCTATAAGAAAACACTTTTCAATTTGTTTTACCTTGAAATAAGGCTTATTGGAGAAAGTGATGTCCTTGGCAGTGAAGAGGTGGACGTAGGTGAGCACCGACTTGATCTGGTTCAGGATGGAAGCCGAGATGGTGCTCAGGAGTTCCGCCAGGTTGGGGCTGTCCTTGCCCATGAGACGGGGGGCCGCCAGGGACTGGCGCACGTCTGTCAGGCAATCCATGTAGAAGCTCTGCAGGGCCTGGAGGTACTGGCGGATCCGCTCCTTGGCTGCGCGCACCACAATCTCCGTGCCTTCGGCTGCTGCCTGAGAGGCCGGCAAGAGCCTGGCCAAGGCCTGCAGGCGCCGGTGGAAGCGGTCCAGGGCCCGCACCAGCAGTGAGTTGTCCCCCACGCCTCTCTCCAGCTGGATGCGCCGCTCCACCAGGGCAAAGTAGCGCTCCATCAGGCTGTCCACGAAGGCCACCAGCTTGTCATGGGCCATGCGGGCAATTCCTTCGGCGCCCTCCCGGCTGACAAACAGCTCCTGGTACGAGGCGATCACCAAGCACATGTTGCTGACAAAGCTGTTGCAGCCGCGGTCGGTGAACTCGAGGATGTCAGTGGCTGGACCGGAGATACTCTGGGGCTGCCCCTCCCCCAGCTCAGCCTCCAGGGCCCGAAGTTCAGCCTCTAGACGAGAGCGGGCATGAGAGAGGAATTCGTCGCATAGCTCCTCCGCCGGCTCACCCAGTTGCAGCAGAAGCTCCACGCACTCAGCTAAGTCCTTGGCACCGGAGCCCCCATCCCTGAGGAGAAAGGACGGACTCTTAGGGCCTACCTCTGCTACAGTGGATTTAGTAGTTGCACCCTCTCCACATGGAACACTGGGAATAGCAGTTCTGTAAGGGGCTCTGACCAGACTACAGTTCCCAGGATTCCTTTGGGGAAGGTGTCCAGGTTCATGATTCCAACCATTTCCTGGCAGACGATTCCTCAAGTAGGGCATGACGGCAGTGACCCTTCCTTGTTGCTCTCCCCAGTGACTGCCATTTAGCGGCATACTCATTTTTGAAAATGGAGGTCATCTGGGGGTCTGTCTCCTGAGTTTAAAGTCTCTTGCTTTATTTCCAGAAATAAGAATATTTGCAGAAGTTACATACTATTTTGCTGACTCTTCTGGCTCAGAGACTCTACCACTTTACCATACCCAATAACACAGCCCTGTCCATGACTGCTGACCCCATGGGTTCCCTTGCAAGCAGGACCCAGATGCCTACTGTCCATTGTCATTGCCTACCTGAACTTCTCACGCAGCTTCTGAGCTAGGTCAGCCATGATCTTCTGGCAGTCATCCTGGATGCCTTGGAAGGAAGGCATGTGCCGGTACTGGTGGAGGATGGAGTGCGCTTTGCTGTAGTAGCGAACAGCCTGCGCGTAGGCTTCAAGCTCCACACACTTAGTCAGGCGGGCAGGCAGCTCGAAAAGGAACTGCAGCTTGCGCAGGAGTGCGTGCACACCTAGTGGGAGAAGAGAGGAGGGCGAGTCAGATCAGAGCACATCCATGGCCGGCCCATGATGAGAGTTCTCTCCTGACTTCCAGTGACGAACAAGTTCTAATGCATAAGCTCCACTGAAATGAACAGGAAATGCACCAGACCTCTTGCGCATCCTTTCACTCCAATGGGGCTTGAGCAGGAGAATGTCCCCCAGTGAACTGTGCCACGTGGGTCTGATCTACATCTTTCCCCATCTGCCTATTCTCTGCTGCTTCTCAACGAGGCCATCGATGGCCTCCCAACCGAGATACCGAGTCAAGTTCATGCCTGCACAGCCTCAGGAACACTGCAACAGCTGTTATGTCCTGAACAAGGTCCTTGCAAAACCCACAGGTAACAGCAACAGAAGGGGAGGGTAACAGAGTGCATGCTCCCGAGGCTGGCTCCAGATCTGTAAGCCATGCTTTACAGCAAGCCAGTGATTCTGTATGCGGCTATCAAAGACAAGGCAAAACCAAATGTCTTTCAAAACAGAGGGTACTAATAAATACATGCCTTCCTGAAATCCCCCATGTATGCCCGCTATGAGTGCCAGAATGGAAGAAAGTTAAAATAAAAATGCCCATGTGTCTAATGCATAAATTTATCCCATTTGTAGAATTTTAGTTCTTTGGTCCATCTTTAAATCCCAGCAGCTGAACAGCACCTCTGCTCATAGACATCCATTCGCGGAGTCAATAGGCTTCCCACAAGGCCCTGTACTTAGATGCCAGGACCTAGTGCTCTCCTTCCCCATCAGTGGCCACCAAAGAAACACCATTCCTACCTGACAATTTGGTGATCTGCTCATGCTGATCCTGTAAGGTGCTACTGATACTGGCGCTGAACTCAGTGATCACAGCCATGTTGGCTGCCAAGCAGTCCATCTCGTCCTCCATCTTCTTGAAGTCATTCTTCATCTTCCGGATGGTGTCTGAACAGCAGACAAAGCGGGAGGGACTCAGGCTCCCAATGAGCACATACTTCAGAGCTGAAGGGCTCCCTGTATGTGGCCATGGGCCAGCCAAACCTCTATCGGCATCTGGTCCCTGTCTTTAAAATGAGATGTTCTGTACCTGACTTTTTTCCAGAGTTGGTAGAAAGCTAAATATAGAGACAGATGTAAAGAATCATAGAATCATCGAGTTGGAAGGGACCTCCAGGGCCATCTAGTCCAACCCCCTGCACAAGGCAGGAAACTCACCAATACCTCCCCCTCCACACGCACAGTGACCACTGTTCCACGCCCAGAAGATGACAAAAAACCTCCAGGATCCCTGGGCCAAACCGGCCTGGGGGAAAAATTGCTTCCTGACCCCAAAGTGGCAATCAGCATTTCCCTGGGCATGTAAGAAAGGGCCACAAGAAAAGGTCTTTATAAACTTTTTAATGAGCTGTTATAAAACGAGGCAATGGCCACTGGCTTACTTGACTTTAAAGGGAGATCAGAGAAATTAATGGAGGAAAAGTCTACCAATAGCTATTAGCCATGGCAGACAAACTAAACCTCCAGGCTCAGAGGCAGTGTGCCACGGACTACCAGTAGCTGAGAGACAAGCAGTGGGGTAAAGCTGTTACATTCAGGCTCTGTTTGTGGGCTTTGTTGAAGAACCAGCTTGGCCACTGATGAAAGCATGACACTGAACTAGGTGGACCTTGAGACTGACTAGGTGGACCTTGAGACTGACCCACCTGGGCTCTTTTTATGCAAATGTAGAGACTAAAAAAATGATAAATGGGGAAGAAAAACAGACAGATCTTCTTCAGGGCTTTTAAAGAAGTTAAGCCCTAGCAGCAGCCCACCACATCCTACCCCACCCCAGACTATACGACGGCAGGAGGGCTCAGGAGTACAAGTCCTTTCCTTACCTGTGGCAGAAATGAACTTGTTGTAATTCTCATAGACCAGCGTCTGCATATCGCTGTCCAGGGCTCGGATCTGCTTCACCATGTCAGTCTCGCAGTCCATCAGCTGAGCCAGGGGGCACTCCTTCCGCAGCTGGCGCACAGAACAGACGAGTAAGCAGCAGACCCCACTTGGCCCTACATCCTTTGCTCCTTAATTATGAGGTCCCCTTGTAGGTCAAGCAAATGTTTATCTCATTACAGGTTCTCAGTTTGCTTGGGGGTCCAGACCTTTGCCCAAGTCCCGGGAGAGCCCATATATATGGAGCTGCCTTATACTGAATAAGAGCATTGATTGGACATCAAGGTCAGTATTGGCAATCCAGACTAGCAGCAGCTCTCCAGGGTCTTGGGCAGAGGTCTTTCACATCAGCTGCTGCCTGGTCCTTTTAATGGGAGATGCTGGGGATTGAACCTGGGGCCTTCTAAACACCAAGCAGATGCTTTACCACTGAGCCATGGCTTCCTCCCTGAGTGGGAGGCCCCAGGCTCAATGGAGAAAAAGAACTCAAGCAACAGACTAGAAAGATCCCTCTCTCTTTTGCCTGTGATCCTAGAGAGCTGCAGCCTCTCTAAGTAGATTGTACAGACAACTGGTGAACTCTCTCAGTACTATTTCATATGTGATTTGTCCACTGCAAGTAAAACATAATAAACTGAACACATGAAGCTAACTTATACTGAAGCTAACTTATACTGGTCCATCAAAGGCAATGTTGTCTAGTCAGACTAGCAGTGGCTCTCCAGAGTCTCGGGCAGAGGAGATATTAAGGACTGAACCTGGGACCTTCTGCATGCCAAGCAGGTGCCCCACCACTGAGCCACAGCTCCCCTGACTGCTCTTACATATGCTTGCTCTGGTTTTTTTCCCTCCTGTTTGACTGTATCAATTAAAATCATACTAATTAAGAATGAAGGTAGGTTGTAGAGAAGTTTCAAAGCAACTGTATAGTGATTAACTTCTTGAAACGTTGGGAGCAAGTTCAGTTTTCTTGCAAAAAGGGGTCCCTAGCTGGCCACTTCAGAATGTGGATTCTATGGCACTATACTCCACTGAAGTCCATCCCTTCCCCAGGCAAGCCCTCCTCAGGCTCCACCCCCCAAATCTCCAGGTATTTCCCAAACCAGAGCAGGTAAACCTAGTCCCAACATTTCTCACACAGGCAGCTATCCTCCTTCCTATTACTCCTTCCCTAACCTCCTTCCCCTAGAATACTATCTACAATCTTTCGAGGTAGGACCTGCATGTCTGTGCTGTCCCTAGCACCTTCTTGACACTAAATAACTGAATTTCTATAAAGTGAAACAAAGAAACAAACAAATAAATAAATGCTAAATGTTGAGTCTGTGAGAAAGGCAAGCTGTAAGTTAAGTACATAAATAAACAAAGTGATGGGAAATGAATAGGCTTACTAACTTTGGTACTGTGCTGGGGCTCTGGCATTTCCATCACGACTTTGGGGCCTTGTACCAAATACTGTTAGCCGCCCTGAGCCTGCTTGCAGGGAGGGTGAGGTACAAGTGTGATAAAATAAAATAAAAAATCTATCATGTTTTTATCCCACCCTTATCCCAAGGAGCTCAGGGCAGCATACTCCACTCCTCCATTTTATCCTCTCAACAGTCGCAAGCCTGAGACTGACTACTGGCCCAAAATTATCCTTTTGAACCCAGTAGTCAACCTCCAAGTTGCATCTGGAGATTTCCCAGAATTACAAGTGATCTCTAGACTACAGGGATCCGTTCCCCTGGAGAAAACAGCTGCTTTGGTGGGTGGACATTTAACCCACTGAGGTCCCTTCCCCAAACACTGCCTTCCCCAGGCTTCACCTTCCCCAGTAGTTTACGAACCCAGAACTGGCAGCCTGGAACCCAGGTATCCACAGCCCTACTGTTCCCAACAGCTATACCATATTAACATTCTGCTCATGCTCAGAGGCACATTTCTCTTTTCAGATCATTGGGGGGGAATTTGATCACTCTAGGCATGCCCAGAGGCATCCAGCTTCAAGCACCAGAATTTTGACAGACAAGCGATGGCAAGGGCCTCCCTCTGTGGGGTCTGCAAACAGAGACCGAGTCTACAAGACCGGGGGCTTCGCTGAGGGACGGCTGCCACAGAGAGAGGATCACTGCTAAAGGGCGGAGTCCTGAAACCATCACCTTAGTGAGGAAGACTTCCGGGTCGAAGTGAGGCCCGTTGATGTCCGTGGGGCCCCCGAGGTCCCCTCTAGCCGCGCCCAAGGTCTCTCCCGAGGCTTCCGGGAGCCCGTAGTAGAGCTTCAGCATCCCGTGCGGCCGACGCTTCCCGCCCGGCGGCTCAGGGCCACGCTCGGCCGGAGAAGCCGCCATCAGACTGGGTGGCACCCCAACCGCCTGCAATCCGCTCTGCCAACGGCAATAGTAGTAATAACAGAGGGGTGGATGAGGGGCGCAGCACCGATTGCAACTTCCGGAAACGATAAAGTTTCGTTGGGGAAAAAACACCTTTCGCTGTCAGAATTCACTTCCGGGAACAATAAAGTTTTGCTGTAACACGTTTCTTCTCTATGGAGGAGCCCATAGGCACCCCAGCTTTACTAAAACACGCCCTGGAATAATACAGGAAACACTTTTGGGAACTCACTTCCGCTAATTATATTTCTATAGCAACCATCCAGCCTCTGGCCCCAGCCTTTCACTTCCAGCGAAGCAACGCCTTGCCTCCGCATATAGTTATACAAGCAGGGAATGTATTTGCAAAGAGAAGCATTCAGCTGTGTAAGCGTTCCCCTGACACGGTCCGGCCCTGGGGTTGGCTTAAACCATCTGCCTAGGTCAGCCTCTAGGAACAAATAAACCTTTGTAGAAAGGTTTTAGCAACACACCGTTTTTGCATCGTAAATTCTCAGTGGATTACTTGGAGAAAGGTAGAAAAATTATTTTAGAAATTATTAAAGAGTCTTGTGGCATGTTAAAGACTAACAAATGCATTTAAGCTCTGTCACATGTGAATTTTTTGTGACAATAAATGTGCTCATTTGTAAGGTGCCACTCAACCATTTGTTATTTCGACTTCAACAGACTCACCCAGCTACTCCCCTGGAATTTATAATCCATTCGTGTGGATTTGATGAGTGTCACTATGAGATACTACTAGAGAGTTTGCCAAATGGATTAATACTGTATTTCAACGCTACCCACTTTGATAAAGTTATACACGAAACGAGATATAATATGCATGGTTTGTTGGTGTTGATGGCATTTGAATTGCTTCCAGTAAACTGAATATTGGAAAAAGAAATTTCTAGTCTTTGGAGACTTTTTTGGCATAATATATCATGGGCGTTTGCTTCTTCTCAACCCACCTGGAGGATGGCAAACCCACCCCTACCCTTCTAGAACCCTTGGGACATTATGACCTCATGATCCCAGAATGCAGCTTTCTCCAAGCCTTTGTAACTAAGCAAGAGCAAAAGCACGCCAGCTATTGCTTCCTGCTCCTTAGCTTTCTCATTCAAGTGACAGCTGACTACAACAGGGTACAGAGGATGAGCTGGAAGGACCCATTTATAACCATCACATTTCCCAGCAAAGTTGTCCTCACTATTGCTTCCATCCTCCTGTTCCTCATTCACACAGGCATCATCATTGGAGACCTGTATCACTTCCTTGGATCCCAGAGGGTGGATCTAATGAGTTTCCGATATACCATAACTCTGTTGGTAAACTTAATGCCCCTTTGCCTGAGTTGCAGAAGCTTGTGGGGGAGATATTCTCTTTGGATTGTGGCCATAGAAATAGACAAGCCCTGGCTGGGGACAGAGACCAACCAGGGACTAGGCTAGGTGAAACCATCAGTCACCCACACAATCACTTTACAAGGACTAAACAATTAAATTAACTTCAGAATTGCATAAAAGTATCTGATGAAAAATGATTTGAGTCTCCGAAGCTTATTCTTTGAAAAACTTGTTGGTGTCTAAGGTGCTACTGAACTCAAATCTTGCTAATAAAACTTAGTATGTATCAATTCTATAGTGCTTTCCACAGGAAGTGGTGGCGACTACAAGCATGGATGGCTTCAAAAGGGAATTAGATAAGCATATGGAGCAGAGGCCCATCAGTGGCTATTAGCCACAAGGTATAGATAGGGGCTCTGGGGCAAGTGATGCTCTGTCTTCTTGGTGCTTGGGGGGGAGGGGTCAACAGTGGGAGGGCTTCTAATGTCCTGGCCCCACTGGTGGACCTCCTGATGGCACTGGTATTTCTGGCCACTGTGTGACACAAAGTGTTGGACTGGATGGGCCACTGGCCTGATCCAACATTGGCGTCTCTTATTTTCTTATGTAACATGTATTATCTTGTAACCCTGGTTGTTCTTAGATGGGAGACTACCAAGGAAGTCCAGAGGCAGGCAATGGCAAACCATCTCTTGCCTTGAAAACCCTTCAGGGGTCACTAAGTCAGCTGTGACTTAATGGCAAAAAACAAAACTTGTGACTGTAAAGTAGGGCAGTTTTATGCACGAATTGCAGACTTGGGAGGTGCTGAAAGAGTGCCTTGTCTAAGGCTACATACCTAGTGAGTCTGTGGCAGAAACAGGTTTGAACCAGGGATGTCTTGGGCCTATGGCTCCCTCTTTTAGCCAGTGTACTAAACCAGCTTGATATAGTTTATAAGGCTCTTCAGAACCCACTGACCAAGTATGTAATGTAGAACTGGAAAACAGCCTAGCAGAGTAGAGAAGAGCTGAATTACAGTGGGTGGGGATCAGAATGAGCAATACCTTAACAGCAACCCTAGGATATAGGGAATTGGAAAGGGTTCAAAGTGCTGGGAAGCAGACATTGCCCCCCCCCATCTGTCTACAAGAGTGTAATCAGCCCCCTGAACTCACTGTGGAGTTGGGGGGAGATAGAGGAACATGGGCACTTCTCAGGCTATTGGGAGAGGGGTGATAGCAGCTTCAGGGGATTTCTAGCGGTGAATTAGCCTGGTTGGGTGGGCTTGGGCAAGTGATGCTCTGTCTTCACACTGTTCCATAGGCCTCAACCAAATCACATCCCTGGTTGCTCGTTAATGTAGTGTGCTAGTGTTATTCCTCAAGAGAAAGATAAACTCTGGTAAGCACCCCCAAGACCAGAAGAGACATGATTCTCACTTCTCCTCTTTCCTCCCCCCCCCCCAGGCCAAGAATCACCACTGGCCAAGGAGACAGGCTCAGTTAAGAGAATGCCTTTGCTTTTCAAGGATAGTTTTCTGCTAGGGCAGTATAGTGAAACCCATTTGAACAATGGCAGGGGGGAGAAGAGCGCTAAGGGAAAACCCACACCACACTGAGAAAAACCTTCCGGTACTTCTTGCCGGCAACAAATGCGCACGCGCGCACACACCCAAAACAGCTCTTTGAGACAAAGATTTTTACACTGCTTTTGTTGTTGTTGTTGTTCTGCAGTTCTCACAAGTGGTCAGCTTTTACTGGGCTCTCCTCGCGACCATCTACACCTTGCAAGCAGAAGACAGCGTGTTGATGTGCTTCGCTCTCACATCTTTTGGTGAGGACTTGTAACTTAAGGTGGGCGAGGGGAGATGGGAGGATGGCCAATCAAACCAGAAAGAAGGTGGAGCCATCATAGATGGTGAGAGCGCCATCAGCTAGTGTGCATCAGCTAGAGAGGTGGTAAGCAGCTAGAACTTGAGTCCCAATCTCACTGGACAGGCTCCACAGTTTAAGTAGGTGGGAGTGCCCAGTTCCATTCAAAGAAAAGGCCAAGCTCTGATGTACCACTGGAGAAGCCAAGAGCCGCCTGGGGCAGTAAGATATTTCCCCCCTCATCTTTGCCCTTCTCACCTTCTTGAGTCTCTCAAGGTCTATGGCTCTACTGCTGCTCCTGAAGGCATAAAGTCCTTCCTTCTGCCTTGTTTCCCTTTGCTAAAAGGGAATTTCTTCTTCCTTCACAGCAGTTATTCAGAACTCTAGAATGTCGATGCTTGACTCCACCTAAGTCGGGGGTCCACAGCGCAGTGCCCGTGGGCAGCACAGGGCCTACCAACACTTTCCCTGGTGCCTGCCAAGTGTTTTTAGAAAGTGGGTGGGGCCAGATGGGACTTTTACCAGAACGTCTGATTTGCCGCTGGAGATCTGATTGGCTGTACAGATTTTCAAAAATGTTGCTTTGGCAGCAGCTGTCACCACAGCACAAGGGTCTTCACTGGGCGACTGAAGGTAACCTGTGTGCACGCATGAAAATATCTTAAAACAATATGTTTATTTTAAAAGACATCCTGTCAAGCAGAGCTTCTGCCTGAAATGTTGGGAGAGTTACTATTAGAATAATGTATAACTTCACTCCCTGATATTGTGTGCTTGACACCACTTCTTGCAGCAGCCATTCTGTGATAGTGCCCACCTCCAGTGTTCCCTCTAAGCTGAGTTAGTGTGAGCTAGCTCACAGTTTTTAGCCTCCAGCTCGCAGATTTTTTTCTTCGCTCAGGAAGGCTGGCTCCAGAGCAAACTAATCTATGCAGGAGCCAAATCGCTCGCTCACAACTTTAATGCCGGTAGCTCACAAAGTAGAATTTTTGCTCACAAGACTCCACAGCTTAGAGGGAGTGTTGCCCCACCACCCTGTGTCAGAGTTCCAAAGTAGAATGTAGGCTCAAGAAGGTTAGGTACCCCTAAGTTGTTAAAAAGACGCAGGCAAATGCTGTAGCACAGCAGCTCAAAGAGGTGGGAAGGGGGAAGGAAAGGCAGGAACCTGCTGAGGGCAGTCTCTTTCGTGTTTTAGTAATGCCGCTTCTTTCCTCAGGGAAGATGTTTTTAAACATTGCTTGGTAGTACGAAAACCCTACAATGCATCCCCCCCGCCCCCCCGGTGTGGTGGTACAAGAAGTCGCAACCATTTCTCAGAACTGGGAAAGACAGTCCCATCTCCTCTTTGGCCTACATCGGTATTTAGTTAAACAGGGTTTTTAGTAACGTGGAGTGGCATCTGAGAAACCCAACAGATTTGGATTTCCTCTGCCCCAAATCTTTATTCCATTCACTGAAGCTGAACACATAGTTAGGTCCATGTCTAGCAATGAGCCAGACCACTAGTCTGACTAGCCCAGTATCATCTGGCTGGTATCAGCTCTCCAAGGTCTTTTGTACCCCATACTAAGATCTTTCAACAGGAGATTCCAGAGACTCAACTGGGGTATTTTGGATGCAAAGCGGGTGCTCTACCACAGAACCCTCCCCAAATTTCCCAACTGGTACAGAAGAAAGCTAGGATTTGGGAGCTTCGTCCTGCTGCTTGGAATATATATCAATCTCATTCTCTTCTTCCTGCCTAGCCCTGAACTTCGCAGTCTTCATTGCTCGTTTTGTCATGGAGTATCTCACCATTGCCTACAGAGAAGAGCGCTACGAGTAGAGAATCACTTCGAGAGAGAGGACTGAGCAATTTCCCCAGGATCCGGGAAATGCCATTCCAATTCACCTTTGAGGAACAGAAGCAGCAAAAGGGACTTGCTATTAGCCAACAGCGTTTAATAGAATTGCAACATACAAGTCTATTGCTTTAGTCTCTCACACCGTCTTGTACTTCTACCAGGCCCTCCACAAACCATATGAATTGAGGCAGTAAATAAAAGCCACATGGGCGTTCTTAGTGTTTTGTAACAGCGGCGTTAGAACAGAGGAATAACCCAGCACCTGCTGCAGGAGCTCAGGGAACACACAACTCATCCAGACTCTCAGCTGCTTTCCACACAGTAGCATCTGCCACTTTAAGAGCAGGGTCTTGGGGAACAGTTGCTAGCTATTCTCGGGAACCAGCATGTGAGGCTGCTGATGGTGGAGAGAGGTGTGGAGGCCTGGAACAGAGAGGCTAAACTGCACAGAAATCTTAAGATCTGGCAGTCCATCTACTGATTTCAGGGCATCTCAGATCACAATAATAACTTAGAAATATGAACTCCTTAAAACTCCCCCCCCCCCGAAACAGTACTGTAAAAAAGAAAGAAGTGTAACCCTCCAACTGTTCTTTACCAGGTTTGTAGAGATGTAGCCATTTCAGCTATGCTGTACCATATCCCAACAATCAGCCCCCCTGAATCCTATCACAAGGTCCACTGGGGCAGATAGCAGGACAGGACAAATGTTTCATCAGGGCCAGTAATGCAGCAGATACAGTGGGCCTGTGAGAGCAAGATCTTTCCTACCCCCATATTATGGTAGGGGGGAAAGTTCCCCCATTGCTTGATGCCTTTCTAAGCTGCAGAGGCCCCACAGATGGGCAAACCAAAGGAGGCAGGCGTGTCTGCTACTGGGTCGGCAGCCTGTTTCTTTTAGAACACAGCCACATGGAAAAGAGGCGCTCAGGAATCATGTAAGTCCAGCAAGTGTCCTGGTTTGGATAGCACCCATCTCTTGGTCGCAAGCACCCTCGTGCGCGCTCCAGATCGGAGGAGGCACTCCTGGCATTCTTGGAACGTGGGTGGTTTCTCGAACAATGGTCCAACTCGATATAGGAGGAGGAGGAAGATGGGGTTTGCTTCCCTGACCAACACCAGGGAAGCAAACCCCATCAAACACTACTGCAGGCCTAGGAAAGTGAACTTGGGGGGGGGGGGGAGGACTCAAGGTTCAACTGTGCCCTCCCATTAAAAATCTTAAACGCTATGTCAGAAAAAAGCATACAGACCTCTCAGCCCCCTCTACCACCTAAGCTGAGAACATAGCCAGGTGACAAGGGAAACCTGGGACGACCGCCCCCACAACAGATGTAGGCCTGGGTGAAGATAGCAGGAAGGGGTTCCAGAAAGTGGCGGCTGGGAAAAGAAGACCTGGAAGGAACCCCTGTTTTCCTCTGCAGCCACAGGGCAATCTGCAGATGCAGCCCCCCTTCTTGTGGGCCTCCTTTGCTGCCTGACTTTGTAGACCAGTATCCCTGAAGGCTACCAGTCGCAGGCTCCAAAAAGTAATGGTCCCATGCTCTGGATCCACAGTTTGACAAACAGGAGACAGAAGGAGGAAGACTCCGCCCCCCCTTTCACTCAGGGCATCTTCCTTGAAACTTCCAGGGTGGACCTTGCTGGCTTTCAGAGCCTGGTTGTGCTCTTCCAGGGAGGGAAGGTTCATCTGGCCGCAGTGATTCTTCCAGAGAGCCACCCCCAGTTCGGTCTCCCCCAGGTAGCCAGGAGCTCTGGAGCGGGGAAGGGCACGCAGCAAGGGTGGGGAAAGCTGCCCGACTCACTGCTGCCCGACCCGAATGTGTGGGTTGAACATGGGGTCCAGGTTGGGGTCGTTGTCAGCTGAGGCCCGGCCCAGCTTCATCATAATGATGATGAGGGTGAGGAAGCCGATCCCTCCGATCAGGAGCAGGATGATGAACCTCTGCATCAAGGACCGTGGTTGCTTCCTGGAGCTGAAACGGTTCCTGCGGGGAAGAAGGAGTAAAAACAGTCATTGATGCCCTTTTGATGCCCTCAATGATGCCATGGCAAGAACATCGGCAGCGCGGAAGAAGCTGAAGCCAGGTTGCTGCTCGAGATTGGCTGAGCTTCTGTGAGGTCACAGAGTGGCCAACCATTCAGCCGAGAAGAATGACAGGGACAGAATTCTAAGAAATTGTACAGGCAGAGGAACTGAAGCCAAAAGGAAAAGCAGCAATTGAATGTCACCTAATGACACTGAATGACAGCCGAGGTTTATATAGCACCAATTATTTAACACGGAAAGCATTGTGATATTGAATTGGGGCAATGATCTGCCTAGCCCAATACTGTGTGCTCTTACCCACATTGGCTCCCCAAGGTCTCAGGCAGGGAAGGATCATCCCAAACACCTGCTACCTGAAATCATGTAACTGAAGCTGCCAGGGATTGAACCCAAGACATTCTGTTCTCTGCCACTATGCTGATTTCTCCCCTTCAGCACCCAGGCACTACACAACAGCTAAGAAACGCAAGGCCTGTCTGCTAGCAGGCAATCCGAGATACAGGAGAGTAACACAGAAATCAAAGCAGGCAGGGCTTTTTTTCTGGTGGAATGGCCTGGAACGGAGTTCCGGAAGCTCTTCAACAAAATTCTTTTTAAAATGTTTAAAAGTTCATGAGTTTTTCAGTATATAAACTGAAAACTTCATTTCCCTCTTGAGAGTTCTGGCACCCCTTTAAAAAGAAGAAGCAGCCCTGAAAGCAGGCCACTATTGCTACAGCAGGGCCAAGACTGCAGATGAAAGGCACAAAAATAGGGGAGGCTGGTTCTGTCATAGGTGTAGCTTAGGAGAGAAACAATTTGTCCTGATGCAGTTTTCTGCCCCTCCACACTGATTTACAGTCCCTTTCGCTCTTTTCCTTGCTACTGTCTTGCGCCTTTTCTCTCAGCCCCTCTCAGGGCAACTGGGGCCGAGGCACTCCAGAATCAGACGCAGCCTTGCCAGAAACCATCATAATCACTGCGCAGCATTTTGCATACATTATTCTACCAGTGGATGTACCTGGTACAGGATATGGAAAAGATGAATAAAAGTGACTAGGAAGCCACGGTTTCCCAGCCTGAGACACAGCAAAGGGAAGCCTTTGCCATTTCCTCACCCTGAAAGTCGACCCGGTTCCTCTGCACTTACTTAAGCAGCTGGGCCAGCCAGCCGAGAGCAGGACGCCGGCGGTACTTGTCTTCGTCGAAGTCTATCCGAGTGTCAGAGGCTCTGCCGCCCCCACCTTCTCGGGTGTCATAAACTTTCCGTGGTGAGGAAGCTGCAGGGAAGGGAAAAAATTATGGAGCGGAGGGCAGGAGCTGAAAAAAGCTCCCCCCCCCCCCCCCCCGCCCGGTGTATAATCCACTTTGAGACATGCAAAACTGCTTGCCAAATGGATCGCATTAAATCCTGCCCAATGTGTCAAGTGGCAAACCGTCCTTGTTTCTCAGCCATGATTTCCCCTCTCTTTGCCACTTGGTATGTGCACACCCATCTCTTGTCACTCTCCCTTTCGTAGACAACCATGGCCATTAGGGGTGGGGGGCAGAAGCAACAAGGCAGGGCTCCATCCAACCAAGAGGGCCTTCCCCACAACTTTCAGCTTCCACCTGCTCTTGATGAGACTACTGGGGGAGGGCAGGACACAGCCAGGCACTCCTCCACCATGCCCCATTTCTGAAAAGTGGACTCCTCTTTGCTCTTGCAGGTTGCTGGCTTTTGCTATGACACTTTCAGTGGTGGCGGCATGTTTGTGTGTATAATCTACCACCCGTGGAGACCCTAAGCAGCTTACACAGTTCACCTCTCCTCCATTTTATCCTCACAATAATCCTGTGTGGTAGGTTAGGCTGAGTGGCCCAAGGCTACCCAGCCAGCTTCCATGGCAGATTGAGGACTCAGACCTGGGTCTCCCCTATCCTCAGTCCAACACTCTAACCACGACACCACACTGGCTTTCATTGTGGATACCATCTCCCCTTCACCAACCGGGCTGGAGCAGATCTTTCCAGCCTGGGTTTGCTTGCTCCGCAAGCCCTGTGGGCGATGGCTAAAGGTTCTTTCTCTTTCTCCGCACCTCTACAGGCTTGCTGCTTCTGGAGCACTCCTTTGCTTCTCTGAATCATTCCGCATTTTGAATAATGCTGACTGGGGGCTGCTAAAACCCAAAGGACTTGGAACTCTTTTGCAGCGAAGGCAGCCAGGGAACACAACTGCCACCTTTTACCTCAAGGAAGAGGCCTAGCCTTTCTTTCCAGAGAGCAGAAGGTGTCTGGTGCAGTGTTCCCTCTAAGCTGAGTTAGTGTGAGCTAGCTCACAGTCTTTTAGCCTCCGGCTCACACATTTCTGTCTCAGCTCAGGAAGGAGGGCTCCAGAGCAAACTAATTCATGCAGTAGCCAAATTGCCTGCTCACAACTTTAATGCCAGCAGCTCACAAGGTAGAATTTTTGCTCACAAGATTCCACAGCTTAGAGGGAACATTGGTCTGGTGGCGTCACAAGGCTCAGCAGCTTGTGTTGTTACATTAGGAGGGTGGACCTGATCGGCTTACCCTCTCCTGTCCCCAAAACTAAAGGAAAAGAAACCTCCCTTTGGCTCTGTAAGCAAGAACCTTCCACTCTTTGGGAGGCGACGCAGAATGCTTTGCTACTGCAGGCCTGGAGGTGGCTGCAAGCTGTTAAAGGCAGAATAGCAAGAAGGGAGGTTCCACTCAAGGGTGTACCTGCATTCATGGTGACTGGCTCCCCACCCAAGGCCTTCATGCTGATGACCGTGTGCTGCTCCTGCAGGGCCCCGTTGTTTAGGCCTTGCTGCTGCTGGGAGGAGGGAAGGGTGGCGCTCGGGCTGTAGGCGAAGGCAGACTGGGAGCTCTGCTGACTGGCCTCCTCTGAGCTGGGGACTGGAATGGAAAAGGACGAGAGTAACAACCTAGTTGGGGCTTGGGGTTTGCCTCTTCTCACCCACTACAGGATCTGGGTTGCTAGGATCTTGGGGTCCTCTTAAAGCAAGTGCCTAGCTCTTTAGGATGTTGAGATGCACTTCTTTTATACATACACAAAGCATCACACATCACCATAAAAAAACGGAAAGAAGACTTTAAAATATAAAACCCCCACAAACACCCAAATCATCAAACAGCAGAGGTCATTAAAATAAACGACTAGGAAAATTTATGACCAAGAACACATCTAACTACAAAAAGCAAACTAAAGCAAATACCTTTTACTCATCTACAGAAAATCCCCAGACAGGAAGCCAGACAGACAAATCAAGGGCAGCAGCCAAGAAGGCTCTGCTTCTTACAGAGGCCAGCTGCTGATTTTAAACTCTGGGGTGTGTTCATACAGGAAAGCGCAGTCCCCAATATACAAAGGGACCCATTCTGTGTTTAGAAAGTACGATGGATTAGGCATAGAAACATACTGGTAACCAACTAGGTGGTTTTAATATAGGCATTACATGGTTCAATAATTGATCAAGCAAGCTGTATATGATTTGGAGCTTCCATGGTCAGGAGATGGCACTTCTGCAATCCGCACAGCTTCTGGCCACTGTGGTAACACTCACCTGTGAAGCTGGACCAGTCAGTATAGTCGGTGGTGTCATGTGAATCTATTTCCTGGACTACCTCCGCTTCATCAATCTGATGGAAAGAGAGACAAAGGAGAGGATAATGATGTAGACTGAGAAAGCAAAGGGACTCAGTGGGACCCAAAGAAAGCTTTGGAACCAAGGAGACAGAGAGAGGCTGACATTGCTGCCCCAGCCCAAAAGTCTGTGTCTCTGGCTAGGCCTGCCTGGCTAAGGTTCTTCTCTAAATTGGCAGGGATGTGCCAAACCTGGACCTTCATATCCATGGATATCTCCATCACCCTGCAGAAGAGGAACAAGCACCCAAGTAGAAGCAGTTCAATAACCACTAGAGATGTAAGATTTCCAAGAAAATTTGAAGCAATGGGAAAAAAACTGGGTTAAAAAATACTGGGGGGGGGGGGCTGGGAAATACACAACACTTAATTTCCTATCAAACGTAAACCTATTTCGCTGCTTTAAACATCATAAAATGTGTCATCTATGACTTCTTTAGCGTATAATGCTGTGCCATTTGGCATGCCTCTGGAATATACAACTAGCAATTCCTTAGTGTTCTGCCGACAAAATTGCAAGTATACCGAATACTTGAGCGACAACTGCAAACTGATACAACCCATGCACATGTATTTTGATTTGTGCTGTCTGAGATATTTGGATATCTTTAAACTTTATAACACTGATAATGCTGGAACCTAATAATGATCAAACGTATTATCATCATCAATAACTGTTGCCAAAATTATTTACATTTAAACAATAAATGTATCCTTTAAACTGTGTTGTGTTTATTTGCAGTATACACAGGAATCATCATCTAATGCTACATCTTACATTTTTCATGCTATGAATCTTAAGTGCATAAAACCTTATCTTGAAAAGCATTCCAAAAGAGAGAAAAATCAGCTCTTTTTTATACTCCTCCAAATTTGTTTTATGAGAGGAAAGGGGGGGGGGTACCATCCCTGTAGCGAGCATGGGGATTTCTCTCACCCACCCCAAACCACAGATCCTCTTGTCCCTAAAGAATGCAAGAGGGCATATATTCCTCCCCTTCTTCCAACCAAGTGACCCACCCCACCCCATTTTATCACTTCATACAAAAAGATTACACAAAATTAAAACAAGGATATTGTAACTCTTAAGATGTGGACACATTTGGAACACCCTCTTTCAGCTAAGAAACTGGCAAAAAAAGGGAACCAAAATAACACAAAAGCTGAAGCACCTCTTCTAAGGCTAAAGTATTTGGGGCATTTAAATGTAGAGGGGGGAGTGGGGGAAGGTCATGGAGAGAGCAAGTAGAGATTTTTCTGCCGCGGTATTGGAAGGTGGATTTGCCCAGTGAAACTGACTGGCAATTGATCCAAGGCAGACAAAAGAAGATATTTTATGCTACATACCGTTAACTTATACTGTTGAAAAAGCAAGCTGGTCAGGTTGCTTCATGAGGGGATTAGACAAATTCATGAAAGAATGATTTGTTCACAGCAGTGAGCTGTAATGGCTAAACAGAATCAACTCTTTCAAAGGCGGTGCACCACTGAACACCTGTGAGCTGAGGGACAGACAAGCAGGGAAGGAAGGTGCTGTGGTACCTTGGGGACTCCCTAGAAGCATCCAGCAAAAAATAAGAAGATGTGTCTTTTGGCCCAACCCAGCAGAGCTCTTCCTCCATGCTCCCTGCTACGGCACAGTCAGAACACATTTCTGAATGTGCACTTTCCATCTTGACAGAGCCCCATGGATATTTGTGACATTCCTACTTGGCAGCCATTGTCCTTCCCACCATGCTACCCTTACTCCTTGCAACCTTTTGCTCTTACTTGGTAATCTGATTTTTCTGTACTGTACTCAGATCTGACACACATACAGCAGCACCTGTTTAATTCAAGAACCATTCAAGCTCTGCCTTGCAGCCACGGTTATACGGCAGATTAAGATCTACGTAAACAAAACAAGCAATAGTTCTTTTAAAACGATATCATGGCTTCCGTCGGCATTCATCTGCCCAGAAGCGTACAGAAAGACAAGCCTCTTACCAGGGGGAGCCCGAGGCCAGCCCGAGCCCAGTTGACCGTTGACAGCTTCTCTCGCAGCACTGACGCCACCGGACTGACCAGGTTGGCGGAGGGGAAGATGGGGGCATTGCAGCTGGGGCATTGGTAGCCTGCGGGGGCGGTGTTCGGGGGCAGCTGATTTGCCATCTCATTGAGGCAGGACCAGTGAAAGAGATCTGCAGAGGAGGGGAGATGGGTTGTTAAGGAGGCTCCAAAAAAATGCAGTGGGGCTTCAAATTACCTCTGAGAGTTGTATGCATCTGCGGATGGGCTGAGAAAGGGATTACTGACCGTAACAGACCAGCCGAACTGTCTCTTTGGTGGAGAGAAGGGTATTGCACAGCCGGCAATTGGGATTGTAATCGCTGTCCTGAAGCCACTGGAGGTATGACTGGACAATGCACTGAAAAGAGAGAAGGACATTTGGTGGAGAGGCGGTGGTAATGTACGGCACCTGACCTACTTACAGAAGGCCCTGATTCAACTTCAGCATCTTTGTTTAAACATGATCTCTGGGAGCAGAGCTGGGAAAGACCTCAGGCCACGATCCTGAAAACTCACAGCCAGACAGATGAGGCAAAATTGGGCTATAGGATCAGAGTTCAGATTTTTAAAAACTAACATAAAAAGGATTTCACAAACCCCTACCACAAAAAGCCAACTGGAATAAGAAATTTTATCAAAAATTGGCAGAACTAAACAACTGCAAGTCACCATCTCTGTCTGCGAGTTTTTCACATGGTACACTGGTGGGGACCTCAATGTACACAGAAAGACAGACCCAAAGTATATAGCTTCAGAAAAGCCAAACTCTACTGATTTAAACATCACTCCCTTGCAATTTTCCTCCACTTCAGCCAGATTTCCTGAGGTGGCCTTGACTATCCCCTCCTGTCTGAAGGTACCCAAAGGAGTCTCAGAGCAGTTTACAATCTCCTTTCCCTTCCCCTCCCCACAACAGACACCCTGTGAGGCAGGTGAGTCTGAGAGAGCTCTTTTGAGGACTGCTCTTGAGAGAACAGTTCTGAAAGAACATGTGACTGACCCAAGGTCACACAGGCAGCTGCATCTGGAGGCGTGGGGAATCAAACCTGGTTCTCCCAGATTAGAGTCCGCACTCCAAACTGGCTCTCAAACTGTAATGCTGAGCTCTCATGGATGAGAAGCTCTATTTCTGAGTGGCCATTAGAAATATGCTTCTAGGATAGGCAAATCATTTCTCCTGGGTAGCTCTGCGAGGAATCCTAGAAAAAAGACACCTGAATGCTGGAGGAAGGTTTTAACACACCATCTCTTGGAACTGCTCCCATGTCAGGAGCCATATTACTCTGGAGTGTCGTTTCTCACATTGCTTTAATCTGTTGTAAGCCACCTTCAAGATCATGCAACTGAAAAACAGGGTATAACTCAATCCCACTCCTCTGCACCCAGCCCAGCAGTACCATTTACCTTGGCATGGTTAGCAACAATACAGCTCTCACAGACATTCACCCGGTGCTCAAAGCAGAACAAGTTGGTGACCTTCCTTTTGGGGCATTTACAGAGCCCCATGGTAGTCAGTAGAGTGACAGCTCAGGACCCAAATCAGCTGGACAGGGTAAGAAAATACAGAAAAGGGATTTACAGTCTTGCCCGGGACAGGAGCTTTTCAACCACATGCCTGACCCAATGCCTCCTGCAGTAAGAGGGCATAGTTATTTGCTCTCCAGACTACAAAACAGCCCCCCAACACTACCTAAGCACTAGTTCCTATGTATTCCTTGCCAGAGAAGTTTAGATTCCACACAGCTTAGCCTACCCTCCCAGCCACTTTAATCAAAGCCTTTATAACTCCACCTCTCTTTTCCTTTGTTCCTCTTGTAGGGCTCTTGCACTTTTATCAAGGGAACAAGTGGGCCAACATGAAGATGCACTGACGGGGAAAGCAGGTCCTGGAAACCTTCTGCCTCTTATGCAGGTGTCAAAGGTGCACGAAAATGCCATGATGGAAACAGCCCATGCACACTTATTTAGAAATAAGCCATACTGAATTCAAGTATGCTTGAGATTAAAGAGCATTAGAAACAAGCCATACCCAGGATAATGAAGTGACAGACACTTATGACAGAATCCAGGCATCTTCACCTACACCCCCATACATTACAATCCTACTATGCAAAAGCAAGTCCCAACAAATGTAGTGGTGTTTACTCTTTCAGAGATATACATCAGCTTGAAACTTTACACTTAAAAAGGATTAAGTCTGAGATACTTAGGAAATCAATACGCTGCCTCTCCACCCCTGTTCAAGGAGATTAAGCATCCCAGCCTCTAGACCCACCAATTGGTCTTCTAGTCAAAGGAACTCCACTCACAACATTTATCATCCCTTGGTGAAACCTCCCCCAAAGGGGCACCCAGGCGCCCTTAGTCGCAATACCTTCCTTTGCATCCCCCCCGAGAGAGAAAGCCAGGCTCCCCAATTCCGCCTCTTTACCTCCTCTCTGCAGGAACCCAGGCGTCCTGGCCCTCGCTCTTCTCTACCAGCTTTTCCCCCTACTCAAAAGAAGCCTCTACCCGAGAAGCCACAATCCACAGGCCACAGCAAAAAGGGCGGAGAGAGTCAGACCGGGGAAAAAAACCTTTTGACCCTTGGCTCAACTGCCACGTCTCTTCCGGGAAAGTCGCGCTGTGATGGCGTTACACATGACAGCGGCGCCTGACAGAAGAAAACAACGTATGACGCTAAAGCGATGGCTTCAAACCATAGAGGCCGATTTCACAGTCCCGCAAATAGGACGTCCGGTTTCAAGTTGAAAAGCCGGGATCTCTATGACCGCGCAGAGTGGTACCGCTCTATGCCTTGGCATCTCTGTGGTGAACTCCGTCCGCCTTTGCATTGAGAGGTAGAATAGGAACCTAGTTGGCCAGATATGCCAATCATAGAGATAACGACGAGATAAGCAGCCCTGTGGAGTACTTCCGGTCTCAAAACCTAACTGGTTTTCCATTCTATTTCCCAGTTGGGGTTTTACCATAGATTTGCTAGTGCCTAGAGCGTCACCACAGACCGGAAATCTCGAACGCCGGCCGTCACTTCAGTATCGCGAGCTTGAGTAACGTCACTTCTGGCGAAGCGGTGGCGGGCAATTCTAAACGGCGAAGTGAACCTGAAGGCGAAGGAGGAGAATTCGGAGGCTGCCATGGCGGGGGGAGGGGGCGGCGGCGTCCGATGTCGACTACGGCGGGCTCGGTCCGCTGGGGAGGCAGGGGCAGGTGAGAGGGCGGTGCCGTCGTCAGGAGGCGAACGTTATGAAACGGGCTAGATGATGACAACCGGAGAGTCCTGGGGGAGGGGTTGCCTGGAGGGAGCTCGGCTGAGAGCGGGGGGGGGGGGGTTTGGGTTTTGGGGGGGGCCAGAGTGGCCTGTTGGCTATAGTGTCTCACGAAGGCTACGGGAATACAGTTTATGTTCCCGCTCAGCCGCGTAACTGCAAGCGACTCACTTCTTCCATCCGCTCCTATCTCACAGACTTGTTTCGAGAATAAACTAGCCACATAGATCGCCTTGAACTCTAATATTTCTGGATCCACAGATAACAGTACCATAATAAGGGATGGCTTTACATAGCTTTAACATGAAGGGGAAACAGTAACATCTTGTACAGCTGCCTTGTTTGACAGATGAGGTGGGATCGTTGGGCAAGTCCTCAAACTACCAGTTCTCTTATGCTGCTCAATGTAATGCAATGCAATATAATACATTCTGTCTCTGCAATCTCCTTAGGGTATGCAAATGTGTACTGGATGGTTAGCATTGAATACATTCCAGCAGGCCCGATTTGCCAGGTTTCCTGCCTGGTCTGGATGTTGCTGTCTTGATTTTTGGTGGCTTGTTTGTTCTTCAGGGCTTGCCATCTTGAACTGAGCCAGTCTCTTTGTAAGAGAATGTGTGTGTGTGTGTAAAATAAAATCCAGTTGATACATTAGCACAAATCAGACTTTTAAAACAGAGTTACTCAGAAACCAGCAGGGGAATGTTTCAACTGCCTTGGACATTTAATAACAGATGTGAAGATTACCGTGCTAAAACAGAAAGGTTCAGAGCGAGTCTCTGGAGACATTGTACTGAGTTGGAATTTATATGCAGATCTGATATTATCGGACTTGGACTCATTAGGGATCTTACTAAAAAAGATGCTCTACTGACAATCCAGATTCATCCTATTTTGCTAATTTAATTTATCACCTTTTGAAAGTGGTCCACCACCACTCTGCGTGGATTGTTTACTGTTTTGGCTGAATTTTGTTTTCAAGTGTGCTCTGCAGTGTAACATAACATACCTTGTCCTAGAAAACTGGGCCTACTGACCTCTTTGCAGTTACTCCTTTGGGGTTGCTCGAAATAGTAGCATTGAGACCTATGACACTTGTGTATCTGAGGCTGCTCTGAGTGCATCCTGTTCTTTTTTTTTCTCTTTCCCCAGATGCTGTTTCCTTTTCTCCAAGGCGCAGGTCTGAGAGGAACATGGCATCCACTGCTCAACCTGTGTCCCAGGGGAAGCCTCGCTTGTTGGCAAGCAAGATGGTGGACAGCCCAGTGAGTTAAAAAGTCTCCTATTCCTTTTTTTCTCATATACATTTGGTGGGGGAGAGGTTAAGTATGATCTGTGACCCAGCAATAATACCCTTCCTCTATTTCCTGGCAGCAAGGTTGTCTGGAAAAATTTGTTTCTAAAAGTTGCATGCTGCTTTTCTGCCCAATGAGGGCCACCAAAGTGGCTAACAGTTAAAACATAAAAACAACTAAATAATAAAAACAATTAAAACCAAGACTAAAATAATATTAAAAGCACATAAAACAGGAATTTAAAAGGATAGGGAGACGGAATGCCAGGTGAAAAAAACCCGTCTTCACCCATGGGTGGAAGACAGTGACAGAAGGTCACAGATGAATAACCCTGGGGAGAGAGTTCCATAGGTTTGATGCCATGACCAAGAAGGTCTTCTCTTGGGTTGCCACCAGCCTCAACTCAGAAGGTGGAGGCCCTCGAAACAGAAACAGAAGATTACTTCACTGGCCAGCTATGATCATGTGGAAGTAGTTGATTCTTCAGGTATGCTGATCCCAAACCTTTCTAGGTCTATAAAGATTAACACCAACACCTTGAATTGTGTCTGGAAACAAACTAGGAGCCAGTGTAGATGGGTCAAGATTGGAGTGATCTGTTCCCTACAACCCATTCCATGCTGTGCCATGTGACGTTTCCAAGCACTCCTCAAGGGCAGCCCTATTTATAGCACATCCTAATCCTGATGTTACCAGGGCATGCACCAGTGCTGTGCCATGTGATGCTTCCAAACACTCCTCCCTATTTATAGCACATGGCAGTAATCTAATCCTGATGTTACCAGGGCATGCACCACAGTGGCCAGATCTTTTCTCTCCAGGCTAACCAGTTGTAGCTGCTAAAAGGCACTGCAGCTGCCCCCTGCTTGTCCAGTAGTAGGCCTGGGTTCAGGAGCACATCAAAGCTGTAGAACTGTTCCTTCAAGAGGAGTGTAATCCCACTGAGGCAGGACCCTGTAAATCCTGGCTCAGGCCTTCCATTCATCAATAGCACTTTCATCTTGTCAGAATTAAGCTTAAATGTATTAGGCCACATCTGTCTCCAGGTACTGGTTCAGGGTTTGTCCAGCCTTCCTGGGATCTGCCTGAAGTGTGAGATAAAGCTGAGTGTCATCTGCATATTGGTGATAGCTCAGCCCAGATCTCTAGATGACCTCACCCAGTGATTTCATGTAGACATTTAAAATTAGGAGTTTATTAATCTCTTACCGCTTTTGTGTGATTGCTCCAGCAAGACCCTCATCTCATTCTATCTAGTACATACAGTACAGAAGGGGATGCCTTGCTGTGGAGGAGGCAGCCTTGTTCCCAGATAATATTTTGGTTCCAAGGAAGGGGGTGCTACACCATAAATTGCTTCCCACCATAAATTGGCTTTTGTCAGTTTTGCTTCTTCTGTCAAAAGTGGCAAAGTAAAATTGACCAGGCTGTTCTTGTTGCTGGATAGATGGTGAACGAAGGCGATGTGTATTCCTTGTCAACTCTGACATTGATTGTGATGACCAAATGGATCCTCCATGTTCAATGGCAGTGTACCTCTGAATACCAGCTGTGGGGAGAGTCATATGGCAAGTGCAGGGCTATCACCTTCGTGTACTGCAAAGGAATTTCCTATGATATCTGGGTGGCCACTGCCAGAAACAGAATGCTGAACTAGAGGGCCCATGACTTTGATTGATTGGCTTATGTCATTGCTGTGTGATCTGGTAATGGCCATTTGTTTAGCTGGTTTTTAAAAAGGACTGTAGCATGGACTAAGCCTCTCTGTTCAGCAAAGTAGGGTGCCAGCCTCAGGCAGCTGATTTTGGACATTGTTAAAGGTGGTTGAGTGGGCAGATCTGACTCATAGGACACAATTTCAGTCGTACAAGATGAAATGGAATGAATGGGAGCTGTGCTCTTCCATAGCTGCATTTGTTTCTTTAACGCCTGAGCAGCAGAGCATCCCACTGGGTCATACCCTGAACCCCATTTATATATATATATATTGTTTCCAGCACTGAAATACCTTTGGTTGACTGCTTAATAGTATTTCTTGTGACTGAAAAGCAAGCTTAGTCTTAAAGCAATGGAAGCAGAAAAATACAAGATACTTTCAGGTCGGGTAGCCATGTTGGTCTGAAGCAGAAGAATAATGTTTGAGTGGCACCTACAAGACAAATAAAGTTCAGTTCTGGTTCAAATAAAGTTCAACGGAACTTACTGTCATTCACAGATATTTCTTACATCCAATCTCAGCTATAATCACCCAGTATTTATGCATTTTGACTCTAAAATGGTCCTTCCAGACAACAAGCCCCACCTCCTATAAGTAATGGTTGAGGAGGTTCTTTCCGCTATATCTGAAGAAGTGTGCTTGCACACAAAAGCTTATACTGTGAATAAAACTTGTTGGCCTTAAAAGTGCCACTGGACTCAAACTTTGTTCTAATAAAAGATAACTGTATATGTTATTTGCCACCCTCAAAATACATGGTGCATTGCAGAGTAACCTGAAAAGACAGAACCTCACTCCCAAGGCGTTCACAATCTGAAGCTTGAGTGGCCTCAGTAATGGACTGAACTTGTGACCCAAAGGGTGTAACTTGCGCTGGTAGGATTCCCTTCCTCATCTCACCTGTGTTGTCTTCTGTCACCTCTGCAGATTCCAGTACCATTTGCAGTGAGGCCAATAACCCTAAAAAAGATCATGCCACGTAATCGGCCGGTATGTGGAGCAGTTTTCCTCGTGGTGCAGGGTCATCTGTGAATTTATTGTATATAATCTGATCATTTTAGGTCCAGGATACACCTTTAATCACCAGCCATCATATGGGTTCCATTTAACACTATATTTACTGTATGTGTTGGTTTCCTCCTCTCTTTAGGGTGACCAGTTGCAGAGAAGTGAACAGTCTCTATTTTTAATTATTGTCTTGAAAAAGGAATTCTGGTATGTGTCTTTTAAAAAAGAGGCTCATACAACCTGTGCATAAAAGATTCGATGTTCATGCAGATCATAATCAAACTTGCCCGTTGTGGGAATTCTTCTTTGAGATTATCCTCTTTTATTATAAATTGAATTGTAGATTGACAAGCTCAGACACCAATACTCAGTATTATAAGAAGGCGTTACTGTTAATTAGTTTTATTCAGTCTTGCATTTTGTGAGAGCATAGTGGTGAAGAGACCAAGCCACTAATCTGGAAGGGACGTGTTGGACTTTTGAAGATTTCTTTGCTTGGAAGCGGCAACCCACTCAGTTTCTTCCAATGGGGCTCAACTTGCTCTTATGAGAACATGTCCTTAGCTCAGTCATAGTGCAAAGGTGACTTAATTACAGCTGCTTCTCAGGTCAGAGGTCTCCAATTAATTATCAAATCTGGATAAACGATTTTCCCTTCAGGAGAGTTTGACCTGAGACTGTGGAAAGCCACTTTCCATCAAAGCAGATAGTACTAAGCTACATGAGCTGTTGTTTTGGTATAAGGCCATTCTTTCTTTATATCAATTTGAGCCCGTCACATACAAAATAGTTGTTATTGTGACAATCCAGGCTTCTAATTTGGTTGCCTGATGTGATGCAAACTTCTAATTTGGTTGCCTGTGACATCAAACAGAAGTGAGTCAATCTGCTGAAGTCTGCTCTGTAGTTCTGAGCATACGAGAAGATCCCTGGCAGGGCAGTTCCAGATGTTGAGGGCTTGCTGCCTTAACAGCTCTGTTGCCTCTGTTTTTCTGTGTAAAGTTTGCTGTTGATTCAGTGCCACTGTATTGCATCATTTGTTGGCGTAACAGAGCAGCTAAGAAGATGAGCTGTGATTCAGGAGGTTAGATCTCAGTTGTGTGTGGCCTTAGGCAAGTTGTTCTCTCTGTCTCAGCCCCTCATTTGCAATATGGAGATAATATTGGCCTATTTTATGGGCTTGTTGGTAAGGATTGCAAGATAATATGTGTAATGCTTTGAACACTGAAAACACTTACATAAATGTGAAATGTTCTTGTTTTTATCTTTTCTTTTTCAACTCAGGTAAAAGAGTCCAACGTAACCCTCCGGCGCAGTCCTCGGGTAAGCATCCTCTCTAGATTTGTGCTTCAAATATCCAAACAGCCAGCAAAAGGGCCTTATGAGTAGATGTACAATTTCCAGAAAATTTGAAGCTCGGGAGCAGAAACAAAACTGAACCCTTTTTCTTTTCTTGTGATAATCGCACCTCCTCAAAGAAGAAATGCATCTTCTTGCATTGGAGAGTTCAGTTTGTAACCTAGGACTTGCTTGTCCTCAGTGCACAGAAATTAGATTAATCTGATACCATACATATTTTTTAGAAATGATTTGGAAAATATTTGAACACCTTGTCTTAAAAGATTTTATTCATTATGTTAAAATAAAACGTTCCATAATCAATTTTTTTTCTTTTCTTTTTTTCAATTTTTTGGGAAAAAATGGGGGGGGGGACATTTCCCCCCAATTTTTTCGGTTTTTTTCCCCCGGGCCTTCACATCTCTACTTGTGAGATGACCTTGGATGGTTATCTCTGCTTATAGTAGCCATAGGCAAAATCTGTACCTTTTAGCTCCCAGGTAAGCATCTTGGCCTCCGGCTACCGAGGGGCTGAATGAGTTTTCACAATGGTGCAAGCATGGAACATGTTACAGAGTTTGCTAATAAGGATCTCTGCATAAAAGAATTGCTCTCCAGGCGTCATCAAGTTCTGTCTCATTCTTTAAAAAATGAAAACTTGAAATTGTTGAGCAAGCATCACACATACAAGGGGAAGCCAGAGCCACCCATTTGTAAAGTCCACAAAGTGTGGTGTGGGAAATTGGCTTCTTGTCACTGTTTCCATTCTTGCAGTGCTAGTGCCCTTGGGAACTGGAGGGCAAAAGCAGTTATTCAGGAAACATTTAGTAAAAGAATTGCTCTCCAGGCATCATCAAGTTCTGTCTCATTCTTTAAAAAATGAAAACTTGAAATTGTTGAGCAAGCATCACACATACAAGGGGAAGCCAAAGCCACCCATTTGTAAAGCCCGGAAAGTGTATTGTGGGAAATTGGCTTCTTGTCACTGTTTCCATTCTTGCAGTGCTAGGGAGGGACTCCCATTGAGATCCATCAGCTTCTTCCTCAAACACGGGAGACAAGAGTCATGCCAGTTAGTTTCTCTGCAAGTGGCTTGAACTCCTTGGGGCTGAGACATACATATTTGTGCTGAGGGAGATGTCTTAATTTCTCAGAAATGTCAGGAGCACCTCTTGCTACTGGGGCCACCAGGAGTGCCAAGGCCTAATCCTGCCAGAGCAAAGGAGATGGTGGCAGGGTGTGCTGTGAACCAGCCTTCTGGTCAGCCCCTAAGCACTTGCAGCAGTGGGGAGGTTTCAGGCAGTTCGCCAGCATCTTCAGAGGTGGGGCCTCGGCTCATTGGTAGAGCATCTGTTTTGTGGCCTGAAGTTCCCATGTTCGGTCCCTGGCACCTCTGATAAAAAGAATCAGTTAGTAGGAGACGGGAAAGGCTTCTGCCTCAGACCCTGGTGAGCTGCTGACAGTCAGAGTAACCAATACTCATCTTAATAGACCAAGAGTTTGACATAGTTTAAGGCAGCTTTGGGTCTTCATGCCAGAATTTGATTTCTATGTGGCGTGGGCATGTTTTGGAAGCATCAGACAATTCCCTGCTTGAGCTGGCCTTGCCTTTGAGGCAGAGTTGGGGGGAAATGGGAGAATTTCCACGCATTTTAACCTGAAGACATTTTTTTTGGTTGCCAGCCTTGAGCCTTCTGGGTGAGGCAGGCCATAAGGAATCCTGTGGCTTTCTTTTCCTCTGTCATGCAGGCAGGCAATGCTGTGCAAAACGCGTAATCTGACAGAGCCGCGGGAATCAGACCCATCCGCCCCTTGAGCCCAGCAGTGCTCCGACAGGCGGGGCCTTGCCAGGGTCTGGGACACAGCAGCCTCGCCCAGCAGTGCTACTTGGGAAGCTTTTAACGGGGGGGATAGAATTGTAACCCGTTTCCTGCAAAACTTTTGCTTCCCCCACTGCTCAGTGGGCCTAAATTGAGAAACTGCCCAAACATGAACCAGGGTATTGGCCACTCCCGGCCTTATTTATTTCTATTTTGAATATTTAGAACTAGGTTTTCTCCCCCCAAAAGGGTCCCAAAGGGGCTTACAACAGCGAAAGAAAAATATAATATAAATAGCCAGATAGACAAAAACAGCAATATGGCTGGGAGGGCGGGGTATAAATATAATAAATAAATAAATTGCTCATTGAAGCGTCGTCTAAGGGCCAAGAGCTCTTTGGATCTTGCCCTCTGCTCATGCCCAAGGACTCACACCTCTGGACATGGCCAAGCCTTATAGTTACCTGTAGAGAGAGGAAGACAAACTTAGCCCAGGTGAGGCCCAGCTGCTCCTTTCTCTCTTTCCCCTGCCAGAAGCACTGTACTCACCAAGCTGACTGGCATCAGTCCTCCAGAGTCTAAGGCAGGGCAAGGACTTTCCTAACATCTGCTTTAGAGAGTCTCTAAACAGAGATGCTGGGGGCTGAAGCGGGGGGGATCTTCTTCCGCATGCAAAGCCTGCGTTCTGCCACTGCGCCATGACCCTTTCCCTCATGAAATGTTACCTTTGGGCCGAGAAGTCCCACGAGCTCATTGTATATTCTTGCTGAAGATTTGCCTCTCGTCTATTACAGGTCTCCCTTAAAGAAAACAAGGAAAACGTCCCCGTGGGAAACGATAAAGGCAAAAGCCCAGGCAAGGGTGACGCCAAAGCAAAGCTGATGCCTTCTCCGCCGAACCGTTCTCTGGGTTCTGAAGCAGGGGGCCTGCTTGGGGAAGCAGATGTGCTGTCTCCGATCAACGCCAATGCGCAGGAGTCCCTACCTGAGGATGAGCGGGATGCGGCCATGGCCAAGAGAGTACGTCGATCTTATAGCCGTCTAGAGGTCTCCCTCAGCCACAGCTTCCTGAGAGACAGGGAGTCCCCCAGCTCCGGTTTCTCAGACACCTCCACGCCCAACCGTGGCCCAGACAAGCGACACACACTCTTTGGCTTCGACAAGCTCCTGGTTCCAGAAGAGCTAGGCAGCGTGCCTCCTGAGGACACAAGGACCAGCCCCAAGCTGACAGCAACGCTTCTGGAACCCAGTGTCTTCAAGGAGCCTGATACAGACATCCCAGGCATTTCATTTATAAAGGAGAAACGGAAGAAGAAGAAGGTGCCACAGTTCAATGTAAGGATTCCTTGTGTGGTGGAGCTAGAGAAAATAATCTCAGGAGGCCCAGCCCCTTTTTGGCTTAGGATTTTGCAAGCCAGAGGGCCACAAGGGATCATTCCTGTGAGAATAGCTGAGATATTGTGGTTAAAAGAGTCCTCAATTCAAAAAAGGATATCATTAGTCAAAGAACTTCCTGACAGCCGTTCCTCTTTGAAACAAGCTTCCTTGGGAGGTGGTGGGCTTTTCTCCTCTGGTGGTTTTTAAGCAGAGGCTAGATGGCCACCTGACAGCAATGCCGATTCTATGTATTTTGGCAGATTGTTGGGGTGGGAAGAAGGGACGAGCTGATGTTTGGCTCTCATGACCCTTTCTTGTATGCCCAGGGTAATGCCAATTGCAACTTTGGGGTCAGGAAGGAATTTTCCTCCAGGCCAGATTGCCTCAGGGATCCTTCCTTTTTTGCCTTCCTTTGGGCAGAGAAAGGGGTCACTTGGGAAGTATGTGTGTGTGAGGGGAGGTACCTGTGAATGTCCTGTGTTGTGCAGGGGGCTGGGCTAGATGACTTTGTTTCTAAATGCATGCATTTCCAGCTCTTTATTTCTAAATGCATGGATTGACTGCAGGAAAGGAGGTAGCAGGGATCTAGAAGCAAACAGAGCAGAAACTGATAATTATGCAAATCTCAGCCTCTTGCAGAACTCAGCCGTCCTTTTTCCCCTTTTCTATAAGCAAATTTCTAGCTGTTATGGATTGAAAGCAATGCCTGCTAGCGTTTTAAAGACTCGTCTGTGTGTGTGTGTGTGTGTGTACATGCACTGACTGGGATATCCAGCAGTCAGTGCTCTGCCTTCTCTTTGCAACTTGGGAACAGTTTGCTCTGATAAGTGCTAATTTAGTAGCCGCTGGGCTTTCCTGACACTTCTGCTTATACTGATCTTTGTTTGGTTACCCAGTTAGGGCTACCCTTTTAGCAAACGTGTCTTTTCTTGCCTTTTCAGAAGACAGAGCTGGATGAGTGGGCTGCCCAGATGAATGCAGAGTTTGAAGAAGCAGAGATGTTTGACCTTCTTGTGGAATAAAGATGCCATTTCCAGTGGAACTCAGTGCACTGGTCACCAGAGCGCTCTTTGTACATATAGATACAGGACCTGCCAGGACTGCACCTGATCTTGAAAGTGCAAAGCCTCTTTGCTTTCAGGAGGACTTGCCAGTCATTGTGTAGAGGCTATTTTGTGGATGGTTGTAAAAACACCAGGATGTCATGCAGGTCCAGCTGCATAGCTTTTTGGGTTTCTCTTGAGTTGTGACAGAAGCTGTAGTCATAGCATATGACCAGGGGAAGAGGAGAAATTACTGGCTACATTCCAGTAAAGCATTTCCTAAAACAGTTTGCTTATTTGGAACTAACAGCCCAATCTGTGTTATATTTCTGTCCAGAATTAGAGTCATATGACGCTTTATGTGGGGGAAATTTATGGTTGCCTTTCCCAGCATGCATTTTAACTGTAAAAGCAGCCATTATTTGGAACAGGGTCACTGTATGGGAGAGTTGTTTGTGGAGTTTCCCAGATAGAAATCCCTATCCAGCTCCCCTCCCAGCTTCTATTAGCAAGGTACACATCTGGATTGTACCTCTCCTGTTTTCCCTACTGGGGCTGATAGTTCCAGGAGGGGCTGAATTCTGAGGCACAGGGAGACTTACCCTCAGAATCAAAAGGCCCTTTGGCTGCTTTTTAACATTAAAGCCCATTTTGGGAGAACCAGCCTCATCCCCAATGTATTGTACTATTTTGCTCCTAACTTTGTCTATTCATCTGTGTTCTGTTTTTCTAAAGAACTCGTAGGTGGGTTCTGGCCTCTTTTTATAGACAGCAGGTATAGAATGTCATTTTTTCTATTTTCAAAACGTGGTAACGTATAAAACAGTTCCCTCCTGCTGCCCAGTATGATTTTTTTTTTTATTCAGTGATTTGTTTTTCTTTATTGACTTTCTAGAGATTCATATTTTGCCTGCTTAGGAGCACAAACAGAAAAGGAGCTAGGCCTTCTCGGATTTGCCACCATCTGGTGTTAATAGATTAATCGTTTTTTACAGTGAATGTGGGTTGGATCCCACACTTTCCCCTGGTTCTTGAGAGCCTACATGATATCCCTTCATTCAAGAACCCTTTTCCCTAGCTTTTTCTGTCTCATAATATAGAAGTGGAATTACAGGGGTATGTCCTTGTGGTTTCATTGCCTTGTTTGGGTGGG